AAAGATATACAGAACTTTCATCATCTCCTAAAGTCAAGTCTGCTTTCTTAAGTATTTCTTGAATGTATGCAATGAGAACAGAGTACCTTGGAAAATATTCGAACAATATTTCATTAGCTGTTGGTTTTGGTGGTTCTTTTGGAGTTTCTGTTGTTTCAGTTCCTTCTGTAGGTTCTGTTGGAGTTTTCTGCATCTCTTGACTTCAATGCTCTTGCTCTCAAAGACCTAAATGTTAGAGCACCAGGTTTTACAAAGGACTTTATAAATGCTTTAATAGTTCCTGGTAAGTTATTGTTAGCATTAAGTAAGTTCCTTATGCTTCCATCATGTACGTCCATAGCACTATGTAAAAAATCTATACTTTTCTTGTAGTCAGCAATAGACTGACTGTGATTTTTTAAAGATTTGTCAATACCTTTAAGCCAATCTTCATGCATGTCTGATACTGAGCCAAGAATATCATTTGCTTCCTTTAGTGTATTTTGTGCTTGTCGTAAAGTATCCAATCCCGTACGTGCATTGTTTGCTATACGTCTTACAGTATCTATTTGACTCCTTGTTTCTTGCATCCAACCAGATAAAGTTTTAATAGTATCCGAACCATTTGAAATGAAGTTCAAAGCATTTTTAACGTCATTTAAAACTTCTTCACCAAGTACCGCCCATATCTTTCCGATTTGGTATTGAAGAACTCCATATGAAGCAGCTGTTAAACCAGTATTTATAAGGTCCCATATCCATGATTTAGCAGTTTTTCCATCCTTTCCATCCTTTCCATCCAAACCGTTTTCGCCTTGAGGTCTTGTATTCCTTGTATTCCTTGTATTCCTTGAGGTCCTTGTATTCCTTGAGGTCCGGTGTCACCCTTCTCTCCTTTCAGTTCATCTTTATGTTCGTTATAATATTCTAATGTCATAAGGTGTACATCATTACTGCTACCAGCAACGCCGAGAATTTGTTTCTCATTCATGACTAAATTCTTTAGGCATTTAATGTTGTCGTCAAATCGAAAGCTCTTTAACAATTCAATGAGAACATTTAATACTTTCACTAATGAGGCATCTACTGTAAGAATTTATATATTGCACCGTTCATCATTTATAATAGGAACTTTGCTTGTTGTAATGAATGGGTCATAAGTGTTAAAAGTAATCGAAATCAATGACTTTTTTAGTTTTTCCATCGTCAATGACTAAATCATTGCCTTCAATGGTTAAAGTTGTTTTCGTTTACTAGTTCATGTGCTCTTCTTGCTTCATTTGTTTCATACGCATATGCAGCAATAGTCATATTTTAATGAGAATAAAATGTTGTTCTATTTGCAAAGTACAGACCCAAACGAATACGGGACAGTAAAGCTTCAAACAAACTTAGGTCTACAGAATGAAGCACTTGCTTTCAGAGTTGTTGACTTCAATACTATCGCAACTTTTGTCATAACAGATGAAACAGATTTCATGGAGTTTGAAATAGATGGAAAGAAGCATGAAATAAGATTTCACAATAATGTAGAATATAAATGGAAACATTAGCTGGAGTGTTAAATGCGCTCATAAATACTACAATAACAAGGAGAACGAAGAAAACTTAATGAATGTTAAACTTATTGGCAGGAGTTTTGAAGTTCAGTTATGCAAAGGAGTTTAAGAAACACGAATGAGTCATAGAGTTCAATTGCTTCTGGGTGCATACATATGACATTTCCTTTGAAAAGTGTTGACAAAACGATTGAGATGAATCTGTTCCATACGTATGTTATGGTAATTGTTTGTACATTGGTCCTAAATATAGCTAATGTCACAGGCATTTCAGGAGTTAATAGTAAAGGTTCAGTAGAATATAAGTCTTTCTGTATGCAGTCAATTCAATGTTATTCCAAACGTTCCTGTCATAGCAACTCATTTAGGTAAATGGGTTTCGCATTAGTCCTCATAATTTGAAAGACATGCAATTCAGACTTGTTGACTTTCAGGGCGAGCCTGTAGAACTGAAGGCACCAGTGCGAATGACTGTTGAAGTTGACTTTTTAGAAAATATTAAATGCAACAGCTTACAAGAGAACTCAGAGCTAAAAATATAAAGTATGAATGTTTATGTATTAGGTCATGAACTTTGGTTGTTGCTGTTTGATGAAACAAATGAATTAGTTATGTCAGTCAAGAGAACAGAAAAAGGCGTCAAAGGCGCCGAGCGCAAAGCGCTATATTGTGTTAGTGAAAACTGCACCAAGTCAATAAGATTAGGTTTGCATTATGAAGATGAGTTCGATACTGTTGAAGAAGTTTTGGACAGATATTACAAATTGCTTTAATTTACTAAAACATATTTCAAGCAAAGTTTATATTCTGTTGAAAGTTTTGTATATTCATTCGAATATTTATACTTAAACTCAACTCCTGTAGTTCCTGGTGTTTCAATGATGCGGATTTACCTATTTTCATGAATGGTGGCGTTTGACCACAGCATTCGATTTCAGGGTCGAGATAGTCAATGACACATTGTTTCCCTGTTATTCGTGATATAACATTTTCAAGGTCCTCTTTGTTAGAATTATTTGGTTCTTACTTATAAGATTTGTCAAAAGCTTCTTATCGTCTTTGAGTAAAATTGTTTGGTATAACTGAAGAAGGTAATGGTCTACGTTATCTGAAGGATTTGTTTGAACATTTGTGTAAGGGTTGTCGTTGGCTTCTCTTGAAAGAATTTGGTCCAGTGGTGGATACTCTAACTTAACATCTGATGTAGCGTTAGCGTTTGAAGCTGAGTTTAAATTCACGGATTTCAGTTCTGGTTCTTTTTCTTTCAAACACTCTGAACTATAGTTCTTTATGACAATATTGTTTGTCGTTCGTGAGTCAACATTTGATGTTGGTTCAATTGGAACATTAACGGCACCAGCTAAGATGGATTTGCTTCTCATTTCATATAGAATAAAAACCTTTTATATGTATGAAATGAACAATATACTCGACAAGGGTTTGAATGTAAAGCTAACGAATGAAAATATTGTTGAATTCACTGAGACAGGAGCTGTGTATAAAGATGTAGAACTACTGAACAAAAGAGCTAAGGGAAGAAGCAGGAACATGAACAAAGGGTGGAAGCCTATAAAAATTTATGTCAACGATGGCTCAGGAGGTTCAAACATAAAGTATGCAGAAAGTTATAGAGTTTATGCGCTAAAAGGTGAAAAGCCTTCATTTAAGAACAGCTATTCTAACGCATATCCTCAAAAGTTAACGGATGGGGAAGTGGATGATATGAATGACAGCAAAAATATTAACAGAAATGGCGACAGAGATGCATGGAATTTGTTTACCATCAGTCAATTGAAGGTTAAACTTTAAAACAATGTTGGTCGTTCCCATGGAATATTTTTGACTTTAATGGTATTAGTCATGATATGAATCTCAAGGTATGAAGGAATGAAGAATGGAAAGTTTATACAAGCATACGATACAAACGGTAAACGTGTTTCATTAGCTTTGTCAAAACTTACTAACATTTATTTTGACAGTGACTTTGACTCTGACGATTGGAGCGACAGCAGCGATACTGAAGAATATGAACTATTGTGTGAAGCACAGCAATGGGAAGAGTTGCAATACTTTTGTAAGTGAGAACGTTTATTTTTACAGTAGTAAGGTGAAGTGGTTGGCGGCTTTATAAATATTTAAGGTTAAGTTGGTGTTTGTGTTTGTGTTGTAAAATATACGTTAACGGTTTTGTAAAGTGTCAAATTCACAAGTATTGCGTACGGAGGAACGCAGTGCCTCAGTACACGACTTAACCATACTAACTGTTATGACACTTTCTCCAGTTTATAGGACCTCTCTCATATTCTATCTTGTCATATATAAACTCATAGTCATGTATGTCCTCTAACCATCTCATAACGGTTTCCAAACCACTTTTATCGGATGTAAAGTAAAAGCATGGATGGTTATGTAAAACGTCTAAAGTTTCTAAAGAGTCTCTCAAAGTCCAGTCTACTTGGTATTGAAAATCCCATGTGTTATAGAACGGCGGTCCACTATAAAGAAAACATTTTCCTTGTCTTTATATTTTTCATACAACTCTGTCCAATGACATCTCACAAACTCTATACCCTCAATATATTTTTCTATGTCCTCTTTGAAAACATTTGTATAGTTGAGATATAAAACTTTTGACATAAGTGTTTCAATGTCATGAACTCTTATAGCACCACTATATAATAGTCTAGCAGATATACTATCCCAGTCTATATATTCTGCTTTTTTCAAAACCTCTCTCACAATATTTTTGTTATCTAATGGTATACGTTCCATCTTACCTATCTGAATCTTTTCTTTTAACTCTTTCAATATATTGTTTGTGTCTGGAATATGTTTGAGACGGTCCATATAGTTGTCGAAGTCATTGCATATAATCTTTGAGTCTGGGAATATTGTATGGCACAAATGGGATATATAGAAACTTCCACCGAACAAATCTACAAATGTTAGACCATTCGGTAGTTTCTTAAGTTCTCTCAATATAATATCTTTACATTTACTCTTATTTCCAAAGAACGGTAACGGAGGTTTTGTAAAATTCATTTATATATAATAATAAAAATGTTTTTTCCCTGAAAAGTGATAGAAAAGTGACAAACATGAAAACATATATAATTTGTGAAAAGCGACACATTATATAATGTTTTCGACCCAGAAGAAGGCTTCTTCCCAGAAGCAATGGAGGAAGAAGAAGAGTCCTCCGAATTCACACCAGAAGACTAACAATTTTCCGAATAAAAACTTCATTTATACTAAACATCTTCAGGGCTAGAGGGCACGAAGTGCCTGGAAGCCCCACTACCTTTTTTTTTTTTTTAAGACAATGAAAATTGTTGAAATTAAATGAATTTCTTGCAAGTTTCAAGCTTTTTCCTTTCAAATCGCATAAATAGCATATAAAAATATATTAAATGGCATCAAAAACATTAATTCATCTTAGAAAAAGGCATAATTTAACAATTTTTATTTAGATTTTGGTTTTTCAGGAGTTTTAGGTGGCTCGATTATATCAAGTACTTCTAATCTTGTAGAATTCTTTATAAATGGCCATTTATCGACTAATTCTTCTATTTTAAAAGGTTTGATTAAAGGAGCGATCTTTTCTTTGTTTTCTTCTGATAAGCTGTCGATAGTGAAACCATCTGGTAGATTTATGGGCTCATAGAATGAAACTGTTGGTGGGGCATCGATCAAATGATCATGTAATTCTTTTGCTCCTTTTTTAACTGCAGAAAACCATTCTTCTTCAACACACGAGCATTTCTGTGCTTTCCATGCATCTGCTTTGGCCATAATATCATTGGCAATCATTCCGAACATACTTGTTTCGCCGTTAAATAGTTTTGCGTTCTTACAAATAAGCGCAATGTCATTGTAGAATGAATCTATTGAATCATATTGATTTGCTTTAAGTTTCTTCTTCATGGTTCCGAAGTCCATTGGCTCTTTAACAATATTTAAGTAATTTGGACATTGATCTTTGACAGGATCAACTGGAGCACGAAGAAGCTTCGTCATTGGGGCATCAAAGTATTCATTCAAAAGCTTCTGGCAGCAATTATAATCATAAGGATTCATTTTGTCAAATTTTATAAAAAAGTGACAAATAATTGTTACTAAGACTTTTGGAATTATTAATTTATTGTAGTTTAATAGTTTTCGTTCAGAAAATATAACTCATTTTTAGACCAAAAAAGTGGCATCTGAGAATATTGTTTCTTCTTTATCTGATCATTGAAACGGAATCGATCCACGTGATTAGTTTGAAACGATGATATACTAGGGATTAAAGAATATTAATATTGCAGAAATCAATTATTCGATGTTCAACTCATATTTTTTCGAAATATTACAACAATGATATCCAAAGTACTATATTTTGGCATAATAAATTCAAAACGATATTAAAACAACAGATTGACTAATCATTATGGTATAGTATTATGCATACTATCTTGAGATATTGCTTCAAATATTGAGAGAATGTCAGAAAGTGGTAAGTGTACTCTTGAAATTTTTTTTGAGGGAGATCCAAAAAGTGCAATTTTTTTTTCAAAACATGTCAAGTCCAGAGCAGCCAAAAAATGAAAATGAATGTAGTTACAGTAACCTTAAGCCAATTAAAATATTTGAATGCCCAGATCAAGTATCAAAAATGATTTGGGACGTCAATTCCCAAAATATTTTGCAAACATCTTCACAAATTATCGAATTAATTACAAATCACAAAATAACTATCCAAATGGTTATACATTTAATTAATATAATTTCAGAAATTCGTTTTCAAAATATTAAATTATATTCAGAACTTTATCAAAAGATATCAAAAACATTTTTATACATCCGCAAACCGGGAAATACGAAATTAGCGACGCTCCTGCATTATAATGGCTTCAAATTTGAAAAATTCGAGCCTGAAATGAAAAAAGAAGATATTCTGAATTTATATTCAACAAAATCTCGTTTATATTATATTGCATGGAATAAAATTGATGAACTTAAGAGTAAATTCCCAAAACTTCATATTAATAAAAGAATTAATGATATCACACTACTTGACTGTGCAATTAAATATGGATCAGAGTTGTGTTTCAATTACTTGAAAAATTTAGGAGCTCAATATACTAATAAATCAGAAGAATATGCCGTTCAAGGCGGAAATAAAAACATTTTTATGCAAATGATAGAAGATGGTAAATCATTTGATAACATGATTAATACAGCATTGGATTATCGAAACTATGAAATTGCTGAGTACCTTAAATCAAATTTAGGCCAAACTTTTGATTCAATTGCAGAAAGTATGTATTTCGGAAATTATGATGTTGCATCTTATTTAATTTCTAATGGGGCAAATATCAACAAAGTTTATAATCTCTTTCTATTCATATTTATCGTTATTTTAAAGATTTTTCTTTCTCTTCATATTAATCATTGTTTTATTGGATTATCTCTATATTAATGTATGCCCTCTTAGTATTGCAATCAGTGCGAATTCAATGGAAATTGTCCAATTCTTAGTTGAGCATGGTGCTGATGTTAACATGACATTTATTCTCTTTCTTTTCATATTTATCATTGTTTTATGGAACTCTCTTTCTCTTCATATTTATCATTATTTTATGACATTCTCTTTCTTTTCATGTTTATCATTAATTTATAATATTTACTCTCTTTTCACACCTATCATTATTTTATGAAATTCTCTTTCTTTTCATATCTTTCTTTGTTTTATTACATTATTTTACTTTTCATATTTATCATTGTTTAATAGCATTCTCTTTCTTTTCATATTAATCATTGTTTTATTGCATTCTCTCGATGTTAATGAATTCCCTCTTAGTGTTGCAATCAAAATGAATTCCCTCTTAGTATAGCATTCTCTCGATGTTAATGTTATTACTGTTATACTTTTTTGCAATCACAATAATGATATATTGATATTATGGGAGCATGTCAGAAAGTGGTAAGGGCACTTTTAAATTAAATTTAAAAAAAAAATTAAAAAAGAGGATCAAACTAATTTTTTTATTTATTCTTCATCTTCTTCTGTTTCAACCTTTCTTGTACGAGCGCGGCGTCCTTTCTTCATTAATCTTCTTCCTGATGTTGCTTCTACACCTTCCTCTGGTGTCTCTGTCTTTGTTGCCGCTGAGTCATCGTCAGCTGGTGCTGCTGGTTTTCTTGGTCTTGGTCCTCCCATTATTCCTCCTGCCATTGGACCTTTGACTAAACCTGCGAGTGCTGCGATCTTGGAGTTAACTTTCTTTCCTCCTGTCGCTGATGTCTTCTCTTCTGGCTTCTTCTCTTCTTGCTTTGGAGATTGTGCTGGTTTCTTTGGTGTTTCATCTTCATCGAACAATGACTTCTTCGGCTTTGGCTTCGGTGTGTCTTCGTCTTCGTCAAACAATGATTTCTTGGCTGGTTTTGGCTTTGGAGTGTCATCTTCTTCATCGAAAAGTGACTTTTTAGCTGGTTTTGGTTTTGGTGATTCATCATCATCGAACAAAGACTTCTTTGGTGCTGGCTTTGCAGCTTCTTCCTTCTTCGGAGATGTTGCTGGCTTGGCCTTTGGTGTTTCATCTTCATCATCATCAAAGAAAGATTTCTTGGTTACTTTTTCTTTCTCTGATTTCGGTTGAATTGGAGTGATTGTTGTGTCTTCGAAAATTCTGTTCTTTGTTTCTTGTGGCTTTGGCTTTTCTTGTGGCTTTGGAGCTGCCTTTGGCTTCTGATCTTCTTCGTCATCATCGAACAACGACTTCTTTGGCTTTGGCTTTGGTTGTTCCTTCTTTTCAGCTGGTTTTTGTTCATCTTCATCGAATAAAGATTTCTTGGCTGGCTTTGGTGTTTCTTCTTTCTTTGGTTCATCTTCATCAAACAATGACTTCTTTGCTGGCTTTGGAGATTCTTCCTTCTTTTGTTCAGCTGGCTCATCATCGAATAATGAGATATTCTTCTTGGTTGGCTTTGGTGTTTCTTCCTTCTTGGGCTCTTCTTTCTTCGGCTCTTCCTTCTTTGGTGCTGGTTTTGGTGGTTCATCTTCGCCAAACAATGACTTCTTTGATGGTTTGATTGTTGCATCATCATCAAACAATGATTTAGAAGCTGGTTTTGGTGTGCTGTCTTCATCATCAAATAATGACTTCTTCGCTGGTTTGGCCTTTGGTGTTTCATCTTCATCGAACAAAGATCCCTTGGCTGGCTTTGGTGTTTCTTCCTTCTTTTGTTCAACTGGTTTCACTGGTTCTTCCTTCTTTTGCTCTTGGGCAATTGCTCCTCCAAGTGGTTCATCATCATCGAACAATGACTTTTTAGCTGGTTTTGGTGCTTCTTCCTTCTTTGGTTCTTCCTTCTTTGTTTCAGCTGGTTTAGAAGATAATGGTTCATCATCAAATAATGACTTCTTTGCTGGTTTTGGTGTTTCCTTTTTCTTTGTTTCAGCTGGTTTAGAAGCTAATGGTTCATCATCATCGAATAAAGATTTCTTGGCTGGTTTTGGTGTTTCCTTTTTCTTTGTTTCAGCTGGTTTAGAAGCTAATGGTTCATCATCATCGAATAAAGATTTCTTGGCTGGTTTTGGTGTTTCTTCCTTCTTTTGTTCAGCTGGTTTTGGTGAAGCAGCGAGTGGCTCGTCTTCGTCGAAGAGCGACTTCTTTGCTGGCTTTGGAGATTCTTCCTTCTTTGGTTCTTCTTTCTTTTGTTCAGCTGGTTTAGAAGATAATGGTTCATCATCAAATAATGACTTCTTTGCTGGTTTTGGTGTTTCCTCTTTCTTTGTTTCAGCTGGTTTAGAAGCTAATGGTTCATCATCATCGAATAAAGATTTCTTGGCTGGTTTTGGTGTTTCTTCTTTCTTTTGTTCAGCTGGTTTAGTTGATAATGGTTCATCATCATCAAATAATGATTTCTTGGCTGGTTTAGGAGATTCTTCCTTCTTTGTTTCTGTTGGTTTAATTGGTTCATCTTCATCAAACAAAGAAGAAGATTTCTTTGCAGCTGGTTTAGATGTCAATGGTTCATCATCGAATAATGAGCTTGACTTCTTCGCTGCTGGCTTTGATGTCAATGGTTCATCATCATCGAACAAAGAACCTTTCTTTGGCTTTGTCGCCTTTGAAAGAGGTTCATCAACATCGGCAAATAATGATCCACTTGTTGACTTAGACATTGAGTCTGTTTTAGCTGGTTCATCGTCAAACAGACTTCCTCCAGACTTCTTTTCTTTCTTTGCAGGTAATATTGGTTCATCATCTCCAAACAATGAAGAAGATTTCTTTTCCTTCTTTGTTGTGATTGGTTCTTCTTCTCCGAATAATGATGATCCAGATTTCTTCTCTTTCTTTGTTGTTGTTGCAATTGGTTCGTCATCTCCAAACAAAGATGAGGACTTCTTCTCTTTCTTAGCTGGAGCTGGCTCTTCTTCTCCGAATAATGATGATCCGGATTTCTTTTCTTTCTTTGTTGTGATTGGTTCGTCATCTCCAAACAAAGATGAGGACTTCTTCTCTTTCTTAGCTGGAGCTGGTTCTTCTTCTCCGAATAATGATGATCCGGATTTCTTTTCTTTCTTTGTTGTGATTGGTTCTTCTTCGCCAAACAAAGATGATCCAGATTTCTTTTCTTTCTTGGCAGGAGCTGGTTCTTCTTCTCCGAAGAGTGAAGAAGATTTCTTCTCCTTTGGTTTCTCTGCTGGCTCTTCTTCGCCAAACAGAGATGATCCGGACTTCTTCTCCTTCGGTTTTTCAGCTGGTTCGTCGTCTCCGAAAAGTGAAGATCCGCCCTTCTTCGAGCTGGAAACTTCCTCTCCGAATAGCGATGACGCTGCGGAAGAACGCTTCTTCTTTGGAGCAGATGTCTTTGGCTCTTCGTCTCCAAACAATGATGGTTTAAATGATGGCTGCTCTGTCTTGAATTCCGCGGGAGTTTCGGTGGTTTCGAATAATGATTGATCGAAAAGTGATGCTTTCTTTCGACCACGGCGTTTTGTTCTTGGTGCTTCAGTTGGCTCTCCGAAAATTGAGGAGCCGCCCTTGGAGGAACTTCCTCCTTCGTTCAGGTCGTCGAAGAGGGAAATTGTCTTCTTCTTGCTCTTCTTTGGGGCTGGAGCTTCTCCGAATAGGTCGAAAGCGTTTGTGGTCTTCTTCTTCGAGCCACTGGACTCTGGAGCAGCGAACAATCCTTCGGCGGCATCGTTCTCTGGCTTTTCCTCGGTAAGTTGGTCGAATAATGAAGGCTTCTTCTGTTTCGGAGCTGGCTTTGTATCGTCTGTAACATCGAAGATGGAGAGTGTTGGCTTGGCTGGCTTCCTTTCGACAGGAGTAGCTTCAATTGGAGATTCATCATCTCCGAAGAGAGCTTTCTCTGTTTCTGTAAGTTCGCGCTTTGGAGCTGGCTCTGATTCTCCAGTTGTCTTTGTCTCTGATTCGTCGAAGAGGTTCTGTGTTGTAGATGTTTCAACAACACCGGCTTCTGGTGTTTCTGTTGTAGATTCTGGCTGGCCAGCTTCTGGATATCCTTCAGCTGGTGCTTCTGCAGGCTGCTCGCCTCCCTCTGGTGATGGTGTTGTTGCGCCAGGGGTGGCATCCATTGTAACAGGCTCGACAGGCTTGATGAATGGAACGCTTAAGAGTGGATGTGAGCACTCGAGGTTAACTGGATTGGATTTGACGAATGATGATGCTTTGGAGAAAGCTGAGATGTATTTTGGCATAACAATTTGACGAAGGGCTTCTTGTGGTGTAAGTTTTTGCTCTTCTTGTTCCTGAGCTTGTGGAATTTCTGCATTGACATCTGTTCCTTCAATACGACGTTCGACAAATTGATTAAGACAGAGAACATCTAAAGAACCGTAAGCATTGTTAAGCTGTGTTTCAGCAGCATCAACTGCAGAAATAAGTCCTTCTAGCTCTCTTTGTGTATCGCGTGTTTTTTGGAAAATTCTGTCAGAGAAATCTTTGAGGTAATGATAAAATCCACTATCAGAAGCAAGAGTCCATCTTTGAGTTTTAGCTGCCTCTTCCATCTGCTCTAAGGTCCATGGCTTGTCCATTGATTGATCCATGCCTGGAACAATTACAGGATTAACCATATCAGCGCCACCTGCGCCACCGGCTGGTGGTGGAGGTGGTGGGGGTGGAGCAGATCCGCCGTATGATGAAGGTGATCCGAAATCAGAAGAGGCTTCTGGAGCATTATCCATCATAGCTTGGAATCTCGCATTTGTCGCCATCTTCGGACGATTTGAAGATGACGGTGGTGGTGGCGGCGGTGGCGGTGGTGGAGGCGGTGGTGGAATCGACATAATTTTTTTTTTGGATTAGTTTTTTTTGCGAAAAATTCAATAGTTTACATATGAAATCCGAGGGTTAGCGATTATTCCCTTCAGAATATATATTCAGCCTTAAAAACTATTTCTAATATTGTTTCATATCAACATTCTCGTATAAAGTGCTAGCAGATCCGATTTTTGATTTGTCATATTATTGAAAAGTGACAATGTTTGATGATTTTTGTGATTTTTTTTCGTGTAGCTCTTCATTCAAATGAAGAAGACTTTAGTGAATGCAATGTTTCACATCCTTGCGAACATTCACATGTATATTCTTATCTTAAGAATTATATTAATATTACAATTGAAAAAACAAGTTTTGAGACATTAGAAGAACTTCAAAACCTACACGATTTCATTGAAAATTCAAACTATAGCAATATTACATACGATTTTAGCTTTTCTACCGTTAATGGGAAAAAATTAAATCCTAAATTAGAATCATTTCTTTTCTTGAATGAGAGAATTAATACAAGTTTTGGAAATATATTGTTCGCACAGTTTTATTCACCTATAATTTCAATCCGAAATGCAAAAAATTGTTCTTTATTTAATATAACCATCCAAAACTGTAATATAGATAAGAAGATTGGCTTGATTCAAACATCTATTTCAAAATTAGAGTTGATTAACATTACAATTAAGAACAATTACTGTTCGCAATGTCCAATATTTTTATCAACTTCTTCAAGTTTATATTTTTTGACATCAAATTTTGCAGACAATATTGTATTACACGAATGCAATTTACCTTTGATCTATTTAATAAATTCAATCGTTGAATTTGATTCATCTACTTTTATTAACAACCAATCTCCAAATTCACCTCTTATAAGTGCAGAATACTTTGTAATGACTGGGATTTGGGGATGTGAATTCCAGAAAAACACAGCAACACATTTATTTTATATAGATTCTTCATTTTCTTATTTGAACTTTACAAATTCTTCTTTTTCAGATAACAACGCTATGGTTGCACAAATACCAAAGACTTCTAACTTTACAATACGAAATACAACAATATCAAGGACAAATTCTTTGAAGAAACCAATGTTTAGCGTTGAAAGTTCCTTTGTTGTCTTAGAAATTTCTAATTTCACAGGAAACACTGCGAAATCATTCTTAGAAGGAAATTCGAATTCATCTTACGAAATTACTGAAATTGAGATGACAGAAAATACATTTTCCAACAATTTTATTGAAATAGCAGCAATTTCGTCGTTTGTTATTAATAAGACAAAGTTTTCAAAAACTTTTGTGAATAATTTTTATTTTAGAGTTGAAAACAGCCATGTTTCAATGAAAGAAATAGACATAAATGATGCAAAAGGAATATTAGTGCATTCAAATTCGAGTAAAATCAATATTTCGAATGCAAATATTTCATCAAAATTTCCATGTCCAATTTTCATATTAAATACATCGGAAATCAACATAGAACATTCAAAAATTAATGGAAGAGAGTTTTATAAGTCGAATTATTCAAAAATTAACTTTAAAAATAATAATATTTTAGAATTCTCTAAAGTAGATGATCCCATGACTGATGTTAACTGTACAGGTCATTACGACAGAGATAGCCAAAGAAAAATCTTATCTTTAGCTTTGATGATTTTACCACTGCTTTTTTATATTATATATCATGTTATTTTTGTTAAATATAGAAAATAAACTTATATTATGTTTGTATGACTTATTAAATGCACTATTTTTCTAAATTTATTTACTAATTTTGCATTGTTTTAGTGGACAATATGATGTATACATTATATTTGGCAATTAGCGTTGATTTCACTTTAAAACTAACTCCAATTTTAACAATTTGGAGTTGAATATTTACATTTTATTCGAAATTTCTTCTTATGTTATAATATTGATATTTATTGTCGTTCATATGAAAGATATATATCATAATTTGATTATTAATTACATGAAATTACTTAGATTTGAGAAAAAATTTGACATTTTTTAAAAAACGCATACTAATATAATTTTATATAACAATATAAAACACATATAAAAATAACAAACAAACAGTTGGCTAAAATTCGAAATTTCCTGTTTCCTGGTTATATGAAAAAGTATTTTGAATATTTGTAGTTCTGCATTTGATCTTTGTCTTGTTGACAAGTGTAGAAAGCTTCATAGCAGAACTGACTTCGAGTATTGGTTGTACAATCTTTGGTTTCGCCGTCTTATTGATTTTTGGAGGTTTCCTGTTGACCATGTTTAGTAAATTAACGATACTGTCCTCTCTGAGGCTTGCGAAATTCAGAGCACTTTTTGAGAGGTGGTTTCTGAAACCAGTTGGATCTGCGTGAAAAAGCGGTGTTGGAGTTTCTTCTTCCATGTGGCGTTTGATAAAATCACATTCCATGGCTTGGGCAATTGAAAACCTCGTATCGACATTTCTGTCGCATAAATGTTCGATTAAATATCTGCATTCGGGCGACATCGTTTCTGGATATTCAATTTTCTTGAACTTGATTTCTTCTGTCATGCCAGCTTGTGATTTCTTCTCCCATGGCAAATAACCGCAAACCATGGCATATAATAAAACTCCACAGCTCCATGCGTCAGCGATTAATGCATTGTAGGGAGTCTGCTTCAATATTTCAGGAGCTATATAAATTAAAGTTCCGCAAACTGTACTTCGATAATCTGTTCCTGAATTTAGCGTCGAATAGCCAAAGTCAGCAACTTTTATTAATCCGTTTGAGCAAACAAATATGTTTTCTGGCTTAATATCACGATGTGCTATATGATGTTGGTGCATAAAACTTAATCCTTTAAAAACTTGTGTCATAATCGATCCAGCGCGATCTTCTTCGATGCACTTAGAGCGTAAAATTTCCCTTGTCAAATCGCCAAGCTCGCAATACTCTTCAAAGATATAAACATTATTTGAATCTTGAAGAATTTCAACGAGATTAATAATATTTGGATGAGAAAGTGTTCTCATTACTGCAAGCTCATCTTGGAAATGTTTAATGTTGGTGGCAGAAGAAAATTTAAGCTTTGATATGATTTTACATGCGAAAACGTTATCGTGAATGTCGCGAGCCTTAACAACAACACAAGTGTTTCCTTGACCCACAATTTCTTCGAGATAGTAATTCCCTAACTTTTGTGGGTATAAAGGAACACCTTTTTCCATTTAAAATTAATTTCTGCGGTTATTTGAAAACATAACCGTTAATGAAGATATGATATATATTGAGTATGATATGGAACCAATTATTTACATCGATTTTGTATCAATTTTTGTGATCTTCAGAAAAATCATTTCTGTTTGAAAAATATTATTCATTAATTGATTATAATTGCATTAATACTGCAAAAATTTTAAAATGTATATTCAATTTTTTAAAAATTATTTTTAGTGAATTATAATTTTCAGATGCTATGTATTAATATCTCTAAACATATTTTTCAATGCTATTCAATGTCCCTCAAATTGCAAAATGGTCTCAATTCGATATATGCAAACAAAATCATTTAAAGATTTTACTATAAAATAATTATTTTTCAATTTTACAACATTGAATTTCTTTGGCAAGGATTCACTCACAAACAATATTGAATATCTCTTTCTATACATTGGGCAACTACCCTATTTAAAATCGATTACGTTATTACTTCTAAAACTTAAGGGTGCACACGAGAGGATCATGTAAACTTCAGAATTTATTACCTTATTTTTAGGCATTATCTTGGCTACCTATTTAGGCTCGAAAAGCAAAAAATATCAAAAAATACAACTTGAGTCCATTATGACCCTTTCATGGAGGTAGTTTTTCTCCGCTAGTATTTTCCCTTTGAATCTCTTTACAATTCGAAATCAAATTCAAAACTCAGTAGAAGAAAGGAAGAATCGACTTACTACGGTTGTAATACGAATAAATACATATATTTAATTATTTTTATTTACATAATAATTGTTTGAAGCTCATATTCCAACAAATTTTTAAATAAAAACATTAAAATGTTGAAAATGTTCATATATTTTAATAGGGTTTTGGCACTTTATTGAGGAATTACTACATACATAGTCGAACTGAACTTGATATTTTGAAATTTAAATTATTTATCAAAATTAAAATTTAACTTGAAATTTATAATTATTTAGTCATATTTTGCATAATTCTAAGTAGATTTTGTAAAAAATCAAGAAAGAAAAATTTTAACGTGCTTTATTTTTTCTTTTTTATAATAATACATATTATTATATAATTAACATATTCATAATGTTTCACCCTTTCAAAAATATAATCCTCCTCCTCTCAAATAAACGTACATACGGGTGGCCTCTTTTTTCAAAAAATTAAAATTTGAAATTTTGGGCTCAAATATTAGAGATTTTTTCAACCTTCAACGATATATGTTGTCTATATCAGACCTCCTTTCTTTTTGATACTTAACATTGTTCCTAAATCTTAGCCGTTAAGGGTGCCCTATAGACGATAGACCACCCTCAGAAAAGCACTTTTAAGGTTATTTCTGTTAAGCTTTTATCTCGTTCAAGAGAGAGATTTTTTGAACTTTACCATATCATAATGCTTAGTTATATTATGACCAATCTCTACGATTTTGAAGATTTAAATTACGTTGAGAATTCATCGATTTTGTGATTTTTTGATTTTTTTTCGAGTTTTTTTGAGAGTATATAAGAATTTCCGAAAAAGTGACACCCAAAAAGTGACACTTTCAATAGGGAGTAACACTTAAAAAGTGACAATTTAAAATTCACAAAATTTAATACTTGGTATAAACGTGATTGAACTTCTCTTTTCAATTTTGTTTTATAATCTGTCAATCGAGGCTCGCGAATTCTAATTGAAGGAATAAAACCTGTTTGAAGTAAAGAGTATATAAGAATTTCCGAAAAAGTGACACCCAAAAAGTGACACTTTCAATAGGGAGTAACACTTAAAAAGTGACAATTTAAAATTCACAAAATTTAATACTTGGTATAAACGTGATTGAACTTCTCTTTTCAATTTTGTTTTATAATCTGTCAATCGAGGCTCGCGAATTCTAATTGAAGGAATAAAACCTGTTTGAAGTAAATCGTTTTTAATACGATAAAAGTAATTGGGTGCAACTTCTTCTAAAAGATTTTTGACAAAAACATCAATTCTTTGATTTTTAACGCAGCCAAAATCGTGATATTTTATCTTTTTAAATAAAGATTCAGAAACGTTATTCACAACGGTTAATTCATTTGGTCTGGCAGCGGCTATCCACATCATAGCCAACAATTCCTTATACAAAATTCAAAAACTTGGGTGCAATCAGAACTGATTGCACCCAAGTTTTTGAACTTTCTTGAGGGAATTAAAGGGTGAGAGATTTATAGTCTATCTATATATCTCCCACCCTCTAATTCCCTCCCTGACAGCGGGAAATTTTGTCTGAATGTTAAACTATTCAGACAAAGTTTCCCACTGTTTGCGAAGGAATTGTTGGCTATGATGTACTGATTCATGATCAGTACATCATAGCCAACAATTCCTTATATAAAGTTCAAAAACTTGGGTGCAATCAGAACTGATTGCACCCAAGTTTTTGAACTTTCTTGAGGGAATGGAAGAGTAAGAGGTATACATTATGAATATATACCTCTTACCCTTCCATTCCCTCTCTGACAGCGGAAAACTTTGTCTGAATGTTAAACTATTCAGACAAAGTTTCCCGCTGTCAGCGAAAGAATTGTTCCATCTGGTGCATAGAGTGTGAATCTATGCACCAAATGGAGCAAGTCCCTCGCGAAATTGCCAAAACTTGCGTCGCATTTCAAAGATTGCGACCCAAATTTTGGCGATTTCTAGTAGAGATGGAGTATTTTGAGTCACTGACCTATATGCAGTGGCTCAAAGGGCTCCATCTCTACTTTGAAGCAAGGAAACTTTCCTCGAAATTTTGATAATTTGAAGAAAGTTTTCAAGCAATTAGCAAAGGATTACTCGCTATGAGGTAAAAATTCTAGATTTTCACCTCATAGCGAGAGCTTCCCTTTCATTGCTTGAAAACTTTCCCCAGCTTCAAAATTGGGGAAAGGGCTGTAAAGTCGACTCCGATACCAGCAGGTACCAGAGTATTTAAAAGAGAAGCCCTCGTACGAGTTTCTATGAAGACCTTCTCATTCAAGAAGATCTTAATAGAAAATCGTACGAGGGCATTGGAAACTCGCGTCTGGTACATGTTGGTACCAGAGTGTTTGAGATTTGAAGACTCTGGTACTAACATGTACCAGAATTTATGATGAATTTAAGATAGACCATTATAAAATGGTAGCGGTTTGTTTCAAAAAATTTTAGATGAGATTTGCATAGATATAGATTATATGATTTATACATATGAAAATAATATATAAAAATATAATTTTGAGATAATTATGTAAATAATATTTTAAATATTTGAATTTGAGGTATAATTTTATAGTAAAATATATTATAAAGAGTATTTATATAAATATTGTAAAATAATATAAGTAATAAAAATTGAGACCCCCTCCCTGTTTTTGATGTTTTGTCACTTTTTCGGTAATTCTTATTGTTTCGTTTTTTTGATTTTTTCAAAAAAAATAAAAAAGAAAGAAAATAAGGAAGGCATATAGTGTTTTCATTAAAAACAATTATTACAGTAAACAATGTCGCCAATTATTGGTTTTTTGAAATAATAAATTTGAAAAATGAAATATTGAGCATATATTCTACCCAATATCAATTGACTGATTAAATACAATATATATCTTTGCTTTATTCACTTTGATTACTTTTGTATTAAAAAAACCGTAAAATTTGGCGGGATTTTAGCTCTTCCTATGGAGTATTCTATTCCAATCATGGAAGGATACACAATTGAAGAGATATTAATAACATATAAAGCTGATGACTGTCAAAAAAGGGTCTATCATCGAACTGTTTATTCAAATAAGAAACCTTTTCCGCATTTCATTAATCTAAACCAGCTTAATTCAAAACAAGATCATTCACAATCAAATGTTAAGGAAGAAACAATATTCAACGTCAAATTTAAGCCTGGAGTTCCGTATAGTGACGTTGTCAAGAATCTTCATACTTACATTTCTCTTATATCTGGTGCAGGATTTTCAAAACACATCGAATTGGCATCACTCCTAAACTTTCATTGCCCAACAGAAACTACATTACTTGCGCATCTAAAGAGCATATTGCCAGATCTTGAGAAAGTTGCAACAGCAAGTTGTGAAGCTAATATACAAGAAATTCTTAAACATGATTCAGAATACAAATTTAATGTTTCATTAGATTGCGCATGGAGTTCTAAGCGCGATGCTTTACATGCCGTCATTACGCTTATAGATATAAATACAAACAAAATATTAGATTTTAGAATAGTTTCAAGGCATCCAGAATTAATAAAATTCAAAAGTCCCAAAATTTTGGTTGAACCAAAAATTTCACCAGGATTAATGGAAAGCTATGCATTACGTGATATGTTGAAATCTGATTTATGGAAAAAAATAAAAGTTTTTTGTTCAGATGGTGATGTTAAAGATTCAACAATGATAGAGAATTCTGGTGCACAATTATCACATGTAAGAGATCCAAATCATGTGATAAAATCAGTTAGTAAACATATCTTGGGTACGGAGGCACTGCGCGCCTCCTTACCCATTATATGTGAATTTGACACTTTACAAAACTGTTAACGTATATTTTACAACACAAACGACAACACTAACTTAACCTTAAATATTTACAAAACCACCACCCACTTCACTTCACTAACGAACTCACTAATGTAAAAAATAAACGTTCTCACTATCGTTCTCACTAACGACTTCACTAATGTTCTCATAAATTTTCCTCAATATCTTCATCGTCAATGTTAACTCTATTGTAGTCATACTTGAAGTCATAAAGTTTCTCAAGTTTTGAAATGCATAGTCTTGTTAACTTACCTTCATCATCATAAGTTTTTATAAAACTACCATGACAATCTTTATAAACAGTCAGTGTATAGTCAACTGGTCTAGGATGAAGTGTAAAGAACATGTTATACTCAGGAAGGAAGAATAAATGTTTAAATGTATGTTTGTTATATGTTTTGATTTGTATGAGTTGCTTTTGTTCTGTCATTTATATAAAAATAAAATAAAAAATAAACTTAAAAATTAATGATATCACCACCCTCACACGTATGAAAACATAGCACAAAAATAAATTTAGGTGAAGTGGTGAGATCTCACCTCTTTTTTCACCCTGTTGAATTCATTGCTTTATAACTCTCTTTCTTGGTTTCTTTTTAGTTGCTTTCTTCACGTCTGTCTCCAACTTGACTGTCTTTCTTCTTCGTCCGTAATGATACCAGTTACTTCCACCAGTCAATGGGTCAAATGGTCGTTCATAAGGGTTTCCATACATTCCATAAGGTCCGTATGGATAAACCGCTGGTGGAGAAGAAACATTTTCTTTAGTTCCATCGACTCTATTTAAATGCATTGTTTCACCTTTCATCTGGTCATTAAAGTCTTTTGCGTGTTTTGCAAACTCATCGTCCTTTCCTAAAGCATTTTCTGACTCAGTCGCAACCAAATTGGATGCTTTATTTATGAGCCCTATTTTATTTAATCTTAACTTCTTTGCAACCCAGCCTCCAATCTTTCCTTTATTTGCATCTAATGTCTTCGAAACCCTTCCTCCACTCATTTTATTTACTGCGTCATAAGCTCCAAGTGCTTTTGCTCCAAATGCTAATGCTTTTGTTCCCATTGCGCCTAAAGCTGCCCAAGCTACCATTTACACCATATTAAAATCATCTCTCTTCAATATTATCTCATAAAAGTTCTCGTTACTGGAGAAAGTCAATAAAACATAAGCGTTCTCACGGGCTTCGCCCTCACCGCTTTGCGGTCTATCTAACTTCTTTCTTATATCATTTATACGCTTCAAAATGTCTGAACAATTGCTAACATCTTCTACAACAGTTATTTCATCATGAATGACCTTCAAGAACAAGCTCATTTAATATGCAATTAAAATCATTTCAATAATGAGTCCATCCTTTCCATCTTTAGGTAGCACAACATCTTTCATTGAAGAAGGTTCGACAAGTCTTATGTTAAACTTACTGACAAAGTTTGTTATACTATAATGCTTCGGTGGCGAATACATGTAGTTTGAAAGACATAATATAGATTCTTCAGCAAATTCACTTATACTGGATTTTATAACAATGTTCTCACGAGACCAAATACCACCAATTGACAATCTTGTAAGCAATCCTGTTGAACCTTCTACTGTAAACGTCGATGGTAACATTCCACGAAGGTCATCTATTGACATCGTTGAGTCACTGTATTTAAATATTTTCTTAAAGCAATCGTCATTATCTAACCATGCAATAGCTTTGAAGTTTTCATTCGAATATACATCTGCTTCATTAAATGTAAAACCTGACTTCTTTGCAGAGACGACTTTAAAATCTATTGAGTTTGTTTCAAAATTATATGCTATGGTAACTTCTGAAGGTAATGGATGTCCTTCCGCAGTCAGTTGTTCTCTCACTACCGTTTGAAGCTTTGTATTAAAAACTTTCATGTCATCTCCTGTATCTAAGTTCACATACACAGCAACAGGGAAACTATCTTGCTTCTTTGTTTCATCATTATACCTCAAAACATTAAAGTTCTTCAATAATATTGTTCTTCCTGCTGGAATACTTCGAACCTGTCTGATTTCAATAGCTTTCTCACCTCCTACATACTCTACCCAGTGTCTTGGATATTCATAAGTATACTGACTTTCTTGAATTTTGGTAGGTTTCATCATAACGTGTTCATAGTATATCTTTATACTCTTGTCAGTTAGACTCGGTGCTATGTTCTGAATATTTCTGACTTGCATTTTTAATGGAGATAAAATGAAGCATTTAATACATGACGTAGATGAAGACATGAATGAAACTACAGACAAACTTAACTCTTCTCTTATTCTTCCTTTCAGTAAGGACTATGAGTTCTGTTCAAATGGTGTTTATTTCTATTGTGGAAAGATGGGGTCAGGAAAGACATTTAACCTCATTCGTCATATCCTTATAACAGAACGTTTAGGAAATGACTCATATTATGACCAAATCATTATATCAGCAACTTCAGACTCTATGGACTCAACAGCGAAAACATTTATGTCAAAAGTTCAAGCCTCTGTCGTTAAAGTTCCAGACAGTGAACTCATTGAATTTCTTCAACGTTACATTCGACGTAAGAGGAAATATTATGCCATCGTTGAATTTATACAGTCAGGAATGCAAAAGACTTCTGAGGAGATGGAAAGAATTATTGACAAACACCACTTACGTCAATACTCAGGAGTTTACGATATGAAACGACTTACAAACTACATTCTGTCAAAACTTTCAAAATACCCCTTCAAAAAATATCCATCAAACACTTTATTAGTTTGTGACGACTTCGCCGGAAAAGGTTTAGTTTCAAAACCAGACTCACCATTAGCTAACATCATTACTAAAGTCAGACATTACCACTTAACTGTAGCAATACTTATGCAAACATGGAGGTTTTTAGCTTTAAACATAAAACGTCTCATAACTGACTTCGTTATCTTTCAAGGTTTCTCACGTTATGATATTGAACTCATTTGGAAACAGTCAGGTATAACATTACCTTTTGAAGAAATTTGGGAAGCATATAAGTCTCTCATCTCTCCTCGTTCATACCTTGAGATTCATATCATGACTAATACCATTAAAGTCAAAAATATTCCATGGGAACGACCAACATTGTTTTAAAGCTTAACCTTCAATTGACTGATGGTAAACAAATTCCATGCATCTCTGTCGCCATTTCTGTTAATGTTTTTGCTGTCATTCATATCATCCACTTCCCCATCTGTTAGCTTTTGAGGATATGCGTTAGAATAGCTGTTCTTAAATGAAGGCTTTTCACCTTTGAGAGCATAAACTCTATAACTTTCTGCATACTTTATGTTTGAACCTCCCGAGCCATCATTGACATAAATTTTTATAGGCTTCCACCCTTTGTTCATGTTCCTGCTTCTTCCCTTAGCTCTTTTGTTCAGTAGTTCTACATCTTTATACACAGCACCTGTCTCAGTGAATTCAACAATATTTTCATTCGTTAGCTTTACATTCAAACCCTTGTCGAGTATATTGTTCATTTCATACATATAAAAGGTTTTTATTCTATATGAAATGAGAAGCAAATCCATCTTAGCTGGTGCCATTAATGTTCCAATTGAACCAACATCAAATGTTGACTCACGAACGACAAACAATATTGTCATAAAGAACTATAGTTCAGAGTGTTTGAAAGAAAAAGAACCAGAACTTAAGTCGGGACCTTCGGTCTTGGCGCATGGCGCCGTGAATTTAAACACAGATTCAAACGCTAACGCTACATCAGATGTTAAGTTAGAGTATCCACCACTGGACCAAGTTCTTTCAAGAGAAGCCAACGACAACCCTTACACAAATGTTCAAACAAATCCTTCAGATAACGTAGACCATTACCTTCTTCAGTTATACCAAACAATTTTACTCAAAGACGATAAGAAGCTTTTGACAAATCTTATAAGTAAGAACCAAATAATTCTAACAAAGGAGGACCTTGAAAATGTTATCTCACGAATAACAGGGAAACAATGTGTCATTGACTATCTCGACCCTGAAATCGAATGCTGTGGTCAAACGCCACCATTCATGAAAATAGGTAACATCCGCATCATTGAAACACCAGGAACTACAGGAGTTGAGTTTAAGTATAAATATTCGAATGAATATACAAAACTATCTACTGACTATAAACTTTGTTTGAAATATGTTTTAGTAAATTAAAGCAACTTATAGTATCTATCCAAAACTTCTTCAACAGTATCGAACTCATCTTCATAATGCAAACCTAATCTTATTGACTTGGTGCAGTTTTCACTAACACAATATTTTTCTGTTCTCTTGACTGACATAACTAATTCATTTGTTTCATCAAACAGCAACAACCAAAGTTCATGACCTAATACATAACATTCATACTTTATATTTTTAGCTCTGAGTTCTCTTGTAAGCTGTTGCATTTAATATTTTCTAAAAAGTCAACTTCAACAGTCATTCGCACTGGTGCCTTCAGTTCTACAGGCTCTCCTTGAAAGTCAACAAGTCTGAATTGCATGTCTTTCAAATTATGAGGACTAATGCGAACCCATTTACCTAAATGAGTTGCTATGACAGGAACGTTTGGAATGAAAACGAGGCTTTATGTTTTCCTGTTAAAGTTATGGATTGGATTCCTATGGACGGTTCATTCTCAAAGAATACAGATAGTTCAAGTGCAACATTTACAGCAGCTTATACGCCTATTAATGTTAAAAGTATTTGGGCACTATTTAGAAAGAAAGACAACTATTATGTTAATTTTGAGAACCCTAAGTTTAAATATCTTCAGCTTTCCATGGGAGCTTATGGAAATATGCCTGCAGAACCCGAAAAATCATATGGACCTGTATTTTATGAAATGGTTGCGAACGCCTGCAATACAAACAATGATATGATAGGATTTAATGAAGATGTTATGAGGTCATTGGTGGATGATGGTAGTGTGGAACATAAATGGGATAGCTATGACAACACACATTTCTTATGTGGTTTTCCAACAGAAGTGGACTTTTGCTTCCAGCAAGGTCAAACATCTACTGCTCCAATAACATACAAATTGTCTGTTAAAGGACCTATTGAACTAGCAACTGAAAATGTACCAAAGCCACTTATTGGATTTATGAGGGATTGTTGCTTTGCCATTCAGGTGCGTGCTAATGGCATCCCCATAATAAGATTAGATGACTATAACTTAGCCGCGGACGACAGTGAGGAATAAAGGATGAACGTTTATTTTTAAAGCTTATAAATGAGTTCTTCATCAAGCTCTCGTGAACCTTCACCATCTATGAAACAAACTTTACCAAACGATTATGGAGCACCTATTGAATATTTCTTACGAGCTGCACAATGGCAAAGAGCAGTCTCACCAAGGTTAGGTGTTCCACCAGCTCCTGTCAAAAATAGCATTTGGTCAAGTCCTTATATAAGATATGGTCTCCCACTAGGTTTGCTAGCTACAGCAGGAGCAGTTATGATGTTGAAAAGAAATAAAGCAAATGTTGTAAATAATACTGAAGTAGCTGAAGTTAAACAAACTCCAACACCTTCGCCAAAACCAACGCCTTCACAAGCAAAACCTTCAATGACTCCTGAACCTATGGAAGTACAAACTCCTGTTCAAAAGTCAACTCCTAAACCGACTCCAACATTTAAACCAGAACCTACTCCTCAAATAAATCGTAAAACTCCTGCGTTTCCTTACTGAAAAAAATAACGTTATTTTTTATTTAATATTAAAATTTTTATTTGATTGAAATGACAAATAAAGTCACTGAAGCAATGAAACAAAAGTTTTTGGTAGAATACATTAAATCAGGAACTGTTCCAGAAGGTTTTTACATTCATACTATGAAGGATGGTAGAGTTCAGTTTAGAAAGATAAAGCAACCATTAGATAAAGAAGGAATTTTGAGAAAGATTAAACTTCATGAGGACAACATTGCTGAACTTAAGAAGAAGTTAGAAGAGTTGGAGAAAGGAAGAGAGTTATAAAGCAATGAATTCAACAGGGTGAAAAAAGAGGTGAGATCTCACCACTTCACCTAAATTTATTTTTGTGCTATGTTTTCATACGTGTGAGGGTGGTGATATCATTAATTTTTAAGTTTATTTTTTATTTTATTTTTATATAAATGACAGAACAAAAGCAACTCATACAAATCAAAACATATAACAAACATACATTTAAACATTTATTCTTCCTTCCTGAGTATAACATGTTCTTTACACTTCATTCTAGACCAGTTGACTATACACTGACTGTTTATAAAGATTGTCATGGTAGTTTTATAAAAACTTATGATGATGAAGGTAAGTTAACAAGACTATGCATTTCAAAACTTGAGAAACTTTATGACTTCAAGTATGACTACAATAGAGTTAACATTGACGATGAAGATATTGAGGAAAATTTATGAGAACATTAGTGAAGTCGTTAGTGAGAACGATAGTGAGAACGTTTATTTTTTACATTAGTGAGTTCGTTAGTGAAGTGAAATGGGTGGTGGTTTTGTAAATATTTAAGGTTAAGTTAGTGTTGTCGTTTGTGTTGTAAAATATACGTTAACAGTTTTGTAAAGTGTCAAATTCACATATAATGGGTAAGGAGGCGCGCAGTGCCTCCGTACCCAAGATATGTTTACTAACTAAATCAGCATTTTCAAAAATTGTCACTAAATATCCTAAATTTGAAAAAATATTTAGGATCCTTTTTGCATGCCCAACATTAAAACCAGAGCAAAAGGTTCAGAGATGGATGGGATTAATTAATAGATATCCAGGAGAAAAAAAAAAAAAAAAAAAAGGTAGTGGGGCTTCCAGGCACTTCGTGCCCTCTAGCCCCGAAGATGTTTAAAAAAGTTGGAATTGAGGTAAAATTAGATGTTTAGTTTCATGGAACTTGACTGTCCATTGCATCTGCCATTTGTTGGTCGTCTTCTGATGGTGTTCTTGAATGAGATTCTTATTCTTCGGGTACAAATTCGTCATCATCAGGTGCGTCTTGTGGTTCATCTTCTTGAGTAGAGTCTTCTTCTTCAACATCAAAGTCATCTGGTGTATCGAACTGAATGTATGAAAGCCAAATGTTGTATGTGTTTTCCAATTGGCTTTCAAACTTGAGATACATTCCATGCATGAGTGTTATTTCAGTTTCAACGTAGAGTTGCTGATGTGGCTTGAAGACATGCATGAGAATTGGTCCTCCAAATTCGTCCTTGAAAAACTTGCAGTAGCAAACATAAACTGAGATAGAGTCTCCTTCTTCAATGTCTTCTGCTTGGTTAACGAAATGAATAGCAATTTTGCGTACTTGAATTGTGTTGTTGTCTGAGTAAAATAATGGTTTGAACTTGGGGTTGAGTGAGCTAAGACATTGCCATTTTGCTGTTTCTTGTCCGTACTCACGTTCTTCTTCGTCATCCTGATATCCGTAACTCTTTGATTTGAATTCGACCCAAAACTGTTCGACTTTTTTTGCAGCTTTGGGTGGAAGACTTTCAATAAGCTGACATATAGTTCTGTCAACAATTATCTTTGTTATTGTTGGAAAATAGTTGACAATTGTGTCACCTAATTCGAATGGGTCAGGTGTTTCTTTTTGTAGTTTGGTAAAGTCTGCAAGAACTTTGTTGAGTTGTTCACAATATTCTTTGTTAAAAGTTGCAGCAACTCTTTCTTCTGGCTTTGAATTGAAGTATTCTTCAGACAATCTGAGTAGTATTTTGCGTAGTTCAGCGTTGCTGTGGTTCTTTGTAATACGGAGCTCGTTTGGTATTGTTTTTTGTAGTGAAAGTGGCTTTGGATTGAGCGATCTCTCTCTATGGCATAAGATTGCTTCCCTCGGAAAACCGAGAGAAGAGATTCCGTATGAAAACAGTGAAGAACAGCGAGACCGACTTTTTTCTGGGTCGCCAAAACTCTATGAAAATCATGAAAAATAACAGAGTATTTTGACAACTTCAAACAAGTAGGGTAGATGAACCATTTATTTTTCAAGCTTGACTTTTTACAATTTGAACTTTGTTTGCGTAGATATGAATTCTGAAAGAAGTATGAGGGTCTTGTATGACTTTGTACTTCTCCCATAGTTCATGTCTGTCAAACTTACCTGCCATGGACTCTTTCATAAGTTCCATGAAATCGTCTTCGGACAATCCGGGGAAAAGTACAATGTCAGTAAGTATTCTTTTAACATCCTTACTTAAACTCTTGGCTGTCTGTACACATATTACGACTGAGATGTTAAAGTGTCTGAGCTTCTTAAGAATTCGACACATATCTTGTTCTCTGTTCTTTAACAAAGGATGAGAAGCAAAGTCATCTAAAATAAGAAGACATCTATGAGGGTAAGTCTTCCAATCGTAAGATTGCAATTTCTTCGAAATGTATTCTATCTCTTTCTGTTTGTTTCTGAAGTGTTTCTTCTCTAATATTCTCTGCATTTCCTCATTTGGGTCTTTAAACTTAGAATTTATATACTCATTTATAGCATTATACTTCAAAACTCTTCTTTGGTACTTCTTTATCCAATCTAACAACTCAGAGTCTTTTATACATACTAACTTAGACTTCTTTATAATATCTTTGAACGAATTGACGGTTTGGTCAAATTGACCAGAAGTACTACAAATGACTACTAACTCATAGAATGGGTTCTTCTCATCTAGTTCTTGTTGTTGTGCAGCCATTTTAAGATAAGTGAAAGTCTTACCCGACCCAGGTGGTGCAATTAGACCTGTTATACCATTCTGAGCAAATAAGAACTTGTCATGTATAGGCTTTATCTGAGCATTTTCTAACTTCCTCTTGTTCTTGTTTAAAACATTCTCAAATTTTTTGTCAATGTCAGCAAACTTTTTTTCTAACATATTTTTAGAAAAATTAAAATTTTTATCTTTTAGAAAATGTCTAGCGATTTCGCTATCTATATTCGAGACAAACTTTTCGACAGCAAAACATCTGTCGACCATAAAATCTTACATAGTGTAAACAAGAAAGGTGAATTTGTTCTAAAGTTCTGTTTCTGGGAATATGACAAGAACCATAAAACATTAAGCAGAGCAGTCTTAAAATTTGTCAATGACAGACTTGTTGACAGAGATGACGCCGATTGAAAGATAAAGTCCAACAAAAGTTCTTAGAATGCAAAGAAGACACATGCGCTGTTCTTGAAGATGAAATAGAAAACAGAATAGAAGAGCTATTAAAGGACAAAGAACTTTTACATAAATATAGTTGCGCCAAATTTGACATAACTCCACCAGAAAAGAAGAAGAAAGAAAAGAAAGAAAGAAAAAAGAGAAGAGAAGAAAGAACCTGAACCAGTTCCAGAGAAAAAGAAATTTGACATGTAAAAATAAAATTTTATTTTTAGAACATTTCTGGGTCAATGTCAATGTTCTCTTCCTCTTTAGGAGCAAACACTGGCTTAGACTCTAAAATCTTTTTACCCAATTTACCTTGAACTTCAACTATCTTAGACTCATAATATTCATAGTCGTCTGCTTTCTTTGTTCATAAGGTATAACAAGTTTGTATGCTTTGCCTTCTTTAAGGTTTGAAAACCTTCTGTCAAAACTTTCTTTGACTGCTAACAAACCTTCTATGTCTAAGTCTTCAAATTTCGCACCATTTTTAGTCACAATAGCAAACTTAACTGTTCGATGTTCCAAACTTTACTGAATGAAGACTTTTCAAAATGGTAGAAGTAAACATTCAAATATGTGAATGGGTCTAGTTCTTCTTTAAGTCCTGACATGTACTTGTTTACTGAGATGAATTTTGCCATCTTTTCTATCGGATAAAAAAATTTTTTTTAAATTTACTCATAAAAATTTTCTTTGTATATACACCATTCTGAACATCTAAAAGACTTTTGACATTTGCCAGAATGTTCGTTTAGACGCTGTCATATAACCATATTTTGACAATATTGTTTATACGAATCGTACAATGACCTTTCATCTAATGACACAAAGTCAGTTTCATCTATGAACAGTTCATATACACTCTTGTTTGCTTCTAACAATGTTTGTCTCTCTTCGGTATGTGGAATTTGTCTTGGATTGAATTTGAAATATCTAATGTCATAAAATATGAGAACAAGTGGTTGTAAAAGTCAGATGTCAAAGTTTCTGCTAAGTCGTCAAAATATTCTGTATCTTGCATATGAGCTTCTGACGTTCTGACAACTACATATCTTCTGTCAGAACTTTCTAACTTCATCGGAACAGCATTGTTTGAAACCATAATGAAGTTTGCAACATTTTCACAAACTCTTTGGTCTTTATATTTTCTTTCAACAACTCCAACTTTGTCTGTTATAAGACTCTTCAAAGCATCTGAGTTTAAAACTTTTGTTGTATCTATACTTTGAAGTTCGTTACATACTATAAGTTTCATATTCTCTATTGAGGAGTTAAACTTACCGCAGATGTTTTCTAAGTTTGTCATATTCGGGTTCGAATAGCCCTCTAACAGTTTGCACAAAATATCTGTAAAGAATGTGTTCTTACCAGTTCCTTGTTTTCCAATTATAATGAGAGCAGTTTCATTTTTAGCACTTGGATGTTGTAAGATGTTTGCAAACCAACATAAGATATACTCATAAACCTTTTCGTTTCCATTGCATATAATTTCTTTGACATGGTCTAACCAAGCTTCTATAATATTTTCTTTCCATTCTACTTGTTCATATTTATATCCAGTGAAGATAGAATAGAAGTTTGGAGAAGGTGTATAGAACTTTATACCTCGAACTGAAAAATCTTCTAACTTTGACAATAAGATATCCCAAGCATCTAACATCTTCATTCCAACTTGTACAACTTTTATTTTCTTAAGTTTCTGTCTACATTCTTGTTCTGAAACTATTGTTGCTCTTGGTTTGTTAAAGACAACATCCCATTCTTTCATAACATAACATTCTGGGGCAGAGTCGACATAAATGACTAAACGTTTCAAATTCTCGACTGCTTTGTTATAGTCTCGAAATGGACACATATTTCTGAATGCTTGGAAGTCATAAAAATCTGAAACATCTATTCTGTACATTTTTATAAAAATAAAAAAATATTTTTTTTTATTCTTGACTTTGTTGTTGCATTTGTTGCATTTGTTGTTCTTGAGCTATTTGTTGTTGAAGTTGTTCTTGTAATACAATACTTTCACCAGTTGCATCTTCCAATTCGAAACTTTCTGCTGTCATTGACAAATACATAGGACATAAAAGTTTTACAGGAACAAAGTTTGCGTCAACTAATGTCAACGTTATACTTGCCAAAGTGTTTGAGTTCACTAAGGTTGAAAATTCTGCATTCGAATGAACAATAGGCAAACCAGCAGAGAAAGTATTGTTTATACGCATAAGTATCTTTTGGTCATAATAGTTTCTGTCGACATTCGAATAACACTTTGAACCTAAGTTTGAAACAATATATAAGATTGGTGTGCTTAATGTCAATGGAATAGACATTCCTTGTATGACACCTTTTCCTGTTATAGGAAACTGTTGGTAGTAAAAACCAGATATAAGTTTTGTATTATAGCTCATATCGTTTATAGTAAACTCAGTCGGACATCCAAACATAATGAAACCTGCTCTAGTTGCAGCACATGTTACACCCGTACTTAAAGTATTAAATAAGTCAACAAAACCTGTTGGTGGTATATCTGAGTAAGTATCTTCAAAGGAGTATTTTTTACCATTCACAACAATAAAGTCTTCTGGTGTCAAAAGAGCAAAACAGGCTTTAGTCGTCATTGTGTTTAAGGTTAGTTTACAATACCGTCCTTGAGGACTTTGTAAGTTTGTTGTTATAGAATTATATGACTCAGGGGTTTTTAGTCGTAATAGTATAAACCATTATGTCTTCTGCCATTTACTTAGCAAATAAACTTTAATGAAATGTTGTGGTCGTCAAATATTTTTATAACGTCTGGGAAACTATATTTTAAGTTCAACGTTTCACCTCCTTTCATAACGTATATCTTGTCAATGACATTATATGAAACACCACAGCAACTAATGTCGGGTTCTATTTCTTTGATGTTTATATTGTCTGCCTCTGTCAAAAGTTTCAATAGTTCTTTCAAAACTTCATGAGGTGCAATGACATATGAGTTCACTTTTACAGGGTTGTGTTCGACCAAGTTTAACATTATACTTAAAGCTTGCCAAATCTTCTCCTGAGTTTGAAGTTTGTCTTTCAGTTGTTGGTAGTCGTTTCGAATATCTGCAACAGAACTTAAGTCTCTGCTAACTTCAGGATATGTTGGTTGTTCTTTTACAGGAACAATTGTTATACCATCTTCGTCTTCGTATGGTTTCCCCACTTCAACATCTCTGTCTTTGACATTGACAATAACACTTTGACTGTTTGTTTGAGTTGGTGAATTTAACTTCACATCTGCCACCGCCATTAAACCTTTTGAAACACTCACGCTTCTATTTTTCGGAAATGACATTTTACTTAGAATAAAAAGATGGACGTATTCGAGTATCTCTTCGAATTGAAGCAGAACAAAGTTTACACACACAAACAATACAAATACATTGACAGAATAGTTCTTTACACAAACAATGGTAAATGTTATAGAATAGCAATATTTGCTGAACCAAAATATTTCCATAAAGCAAAGAAAGTTGGTATAACTGAAATGGTGAAAGTTCTTGACGTTGACAAAAATATAACAACAAAACTTACAGATATTTCTAAAGGTAAGTTTATCTTACAATATTATGTCAAAACTGGCGTACTGTCAATATTTGACGGAGAGAAGTCAGTTCAAGAACAACTTACTGACCTGCTGCCAAAATCTGCTCGATGGAAGCTGTCGTTATACCAATCTGAGGAGCCCCAGCAGGTTTCATCGAACGAATCTTCAAAAGAGCATCTTCCGTGAAAAGTGCTATTGGTTTTGTAAACTTCTTTGCTTTCAATTCATCTGGACCGTCTCTGTCACCAGTATATTGTATTTGTACAGTACCAACAGTTGAAATACCACCCATAAAGTCTTCTGAGTCAGCAAATGGAATGCCAAGCCAAAAGTTTGAACGGTCTCCATTTGTATATTGAGTTTTTTGACCTCCTGTATGAGTCCATACTTTCACATATGGCATAATAGAACTTTGCATTTCAGGGTTAATAGTTGTTGTGAAATTGTTGTTAAAGTTCATAGCATCTAATGTCAAGTTGTATGACCTCATATCCTCAACTGTAGAATATTCTTCTCTTGGATAATATTTGCCATCTATGTTTATATGATATTTAATACCGGGGTTGTAGAAACAAGAATAGTCATTTATAGTTCGTCTGAACAGTACAAACATAGTATCTGCATGTTTCATTGCAGCTGTTAAAGCAATATCCGTTCTTGCACCTGGGTCAGCACTTTGGTTTCCAACTTCACCTGCAAAGTCTTTGACAGATATTTGGTGTATAGGGAACATAAGTGGAACTGCAATATATTTGGCAGCTAAAGCATTTGAAATATCTGGGTCCAACATATAAACGGCAAGTCTGCTTTCTATTCTCTTGCATTCAAACTTTTCGCATGTGAACTTAACTGGGTCCCAAGCAGTTCCAGCAGCATTGAAATAATAGTTTACTTCATTGTTGAAGTTTGAGAAACCAAAGTCTAAGTCAACTTTGTCTTTGCAAAATTCGGCGAATGACGTTTGATTTGTTCCCTTTACGTCTGTAATAGTGAATGGGTCTTGTGTTGGTGCAATGACTAAGTTATTTTTGCTTGGAGTAAGTTCGATAGAAATTTTTCCTGCCCAGTTTGGCAAGTATCTTAAAAACCTGAAGATGAGGAAAGATGACAAAGGAACTCTAAGTTTCAGTTTTACTTTAGTGGCAGCATTTCCATCTGAACCAGAAAGGTTAACATAAACTCCTGGAACGTTAGGGTCAAGTCTTCTTATTTTCTCAATATTTGCATACTGGTCTGTTTGTTCTCTAGCTTGTGGTTGTACTGAGTTTCTCAAAGCGAACCATTCATAGTTTGCCCATGTTACTGTTTGAACTAAGTCAGAGTTAGAATATATCTTATATCCCATGAAAACTTCTGGAGCATATTGGTATCCGACATAGAAAATTCCATTGCAACCTTTCTTGTCAGACAACTTGGCAGAAGGTTTTATTTCAATGTCTTGTTCCACGTATAAGAATGAGTTGTCAATAGAAATAATATGAAACCTGTCACAAGCAATATCTACTGTTGTTGAAGAACCTTCTCCAAACTCACCTACGTTTCCATAAGAAACAGCAGTTGTATATTCGTAAGTTCCAGGAACTATTTCTGACCTTCTAATGGCATTGTCGCATTCGTTATACCATTCGGAAACATTTCCGTTCATGGCATCCAAAACTGTTGGCGTTATATTCTGAGCGGCGTACATTTCATATGGGTAAAAATATAGAATAGTTGGATTTATGTGTCATAATAGAACCCACTCGTACCAAGCTTTACTTTCTTCCTGACTGAGTTTTTAACTCTTCTTTTTCCTTCATTGCCACTACTTTCACTAGATGAAGTTACTTCTTCACTATTTTCACTTTGTTCTACTCTTCTTCTTTGGTGTCGCTTTTGGTAACTTGCCCTCTGCTTCAAGTTGTTGCATCTTTGCCTCATGTTTACCTAGTATGTTGTAAATTTCCCATGTCCTTTTTGCCTTTGGGCTCTGGTCGCCCATCTCAGGTAACCTATATCCTAGAAAGATTTTGTCATAGTTTGTATTTGAGTCTTCGCGTATTGTTTGCATGACTCTTTCCTGAGTTTCCGGTTCAAGCTCTTCAAACAGAGCTTGTCCATATGGAATAAGCTCGTTTCCAAATATATGTTTTTGTAGCCATTCTGGTTTTCTTTCCATGTTACCAATAATATCTTTTGTGAATGGGAAAGCTTTTACCCAATGTTTCAGTCTTGCGTCATTTATTTCTGTAGTTGGTTTTATTTTGTCAAGGAACATGTTTTTCAATACTAACATTTCATTTGGTACTGTCCATTTGAGTTTTCTTAAATATTCATCCCTTCTCAGTTCATTGTCTGCAAAGTAAGTTTTTATGACATTTGCAAACTTTCGTTTGCAAGGTCATGTACAATAGGTTCTCTTCCTTCTCTATCCCTAACTTTCTTTCTAAACTCTTCACCAAATATACCATCTCTATGGTTCTGTGTAGTTCTTTGAGATAAATGTTCTAGAACGTCAGGTGTTATATTTCCATCAGCCATGTTCATTTCATACTGGTTCAAAATATCTGCATCTTTCATATCTTTCAATGGCATTAAAGCCGCGCTGAAAATACCAGCTATATCTGGTTCACCATTCACTTCCATTGCGTCTACAACTTCTTGGAATTGTGGTTGTAAGTTTATGAACCACCTATCCGGATTAGCTTTATGACCCCATCTCATTGTAGTTCCATAGTCTGCAGAAACAAAAGTAGGTTTGTTTCCATATTGGTTAGGTTCTGAATGAACTTTAAACAATGTTTCATTTCTATATGTTTTGGTGAAATTTAACCTTTTATTTTCACCGAGTTCAGCCAAAGATTGAACGTTATATGGTCGTAAGTAAAAAGGATTGTTGTATTTGCGTACACTTTCTTTCAGTTCTTCCATTCTATGCTGAATATTTTCATCTGATGTTGGAGTCTTTTGTATGTCGGCGAACATTTTTCGATATTCTTCTACTATGTCAGCCGAATTTTTCTTAGACTCTTGGAAAGATTCCATATTCCCCGCATACACTTGTTGAGGGTCAAGATTTTTCGGCTGTTCCAAATCTTCATCTAGTTCTGTGAAGTTAGTTTCCAAAGGAGGGACTTGTTTGTTTCCTTCAGGCTCTTCTAGCTGTTGTTGCTGAACTATTTCTTCCATGTCTGGTTGTATCTGAACTTCTTCCTGTGGAGTTTCTTGTACCTCATCTGCTGGCATTTCATATATTCCGAGACCGTTTTTAAAAAGTTCCCTATCTAAGTCATCCGGACTCATAAACCTTTCTTCTTTCGTTCCGTCTCTATTTTTTACGCGTTTCATGAAGAGAGTTGAATTATCATTTAGCTCTGACATCAAATATCTCGGAGTAAATTCATTCATGTCATTTGGATGATATGCTATTAAATCATATCCCTTAGCGAGCTTGTATTTTTCAGGTTTGAAATTATATCCCATTTGGTGCTGAACCATAAAGCTAAATAGGTTCGGGTCAGTATTTCCTTCCTTGAACTTTCTAATAGCTTCTTTATATCTGTCACTAAAGTCAAGAGTATCTGGGTAACCATAATTTTCCTTAAGCATTTTTAAGAATTCTTGGTTTCCTTGTTCTCTACTTCTTTTATGTCCTTGCTCTGTTTGTGGTTGTTGTTGTGCAGGGTTTTGAACTGTTGGTTGTTGTGCAGTGTTTTGAACTGTTGGTTGTTGTGCTGGATTTTGAACTGTTGGTTGTTGTGCTGGATTTTGAACTGTTGGTTGTTGTGTTGGTTGTTGTGTTGGTTTTGGTGCATGCCTGTGTCTGTGTCCATGTGACGATGTAAATGTTTTAGGTAGTCCTGGTGCAGGTGCTTCTCTTGGAGGGTTTGGTGGTATATAAGTTCCACTAGCTAGTATATAAGTTCCACCAGCTGGTATATAAGTTCCACCAGCTGGCACATATGTTCCATCTGCAGCATAATGTCCTACCTGACTTTTCGTTTTTAAGAAAGCATTTACTAGGTCTGTTTTGGTCTGTTGTAACTCTTTTTCTTGACTTTCCACAACAGTTGCTCTAACGGCGTCATAGGCACTTTGAACTGCCTGTCTCGTTGCTGCATCTGTTATTTTCGTCATATTTTGTGCTACTTCTCTTAACTCTTTGTCGAAACCTTCAGACTTCAGTTTCTTTCCAGATGAGAAGTCGTTCACTAGTTTCACCTTACTATGAAGAGCTTCGAAGGCATTCTTAAAGTCAGCATTCATTAAAGCTTCATTTGAACTGTCTTCATCCGCTTGTATTTTTGTCCTTATTGACCCTATAAGTTGGGCTGCTTTGGCGTTGGCTTGGGCATCTAACCAGTCATTATTAGCTTTTATATATTCTGCGCTTTTCATTGCCTTTTGCATGGCTGCGTCGTTATTTTTACTTTCTTGTGCTAAGTTTTCATACTGTACGGTTTGGTTTTGCAACTGTAAAAGTTTTTCTGCCTTTACATTTGCTTCAACTTCTTTTTTATACTCATCGCTATCCATATATGTCTTCAGGGCTTTTTGTTTTATTTCTTCATCTTTCAGTACTTTATATTGAGTAGTATGGTTTTTCAAATTTATAACATCTTGTTCCATTTTTGCTACTTCTGCTGCTTTTTCTGACACTTTTTTCGCATATTCCTCTGTACTTAGTTCTTTCAGTTGTTCTTCTTTCTTCTTTTTCTCTACGTTTAACTCATTGAGTTTCTTTGTGTGTCTGTCATATTCTAGTTTCTTTTCGTTTTCACTTATTTGTTTCTGTATGTCTATGTTTGACTTTTTGACATCTGTTATTTGATTTTTGAGTGAACTCAAATTCATTTGACTTTGAGGGTTATAAGCTGTTCCGTCTGCAGCTCCACCATAGCCTGCCATTTTCGCTAAAAGTGCCGCTCTTAAACCTCCACTCTGTGCACCAATAACTCGGTTTAAAAGCATAGGGTTGCTTGACATTTGTTGCAACATAGTGGGGTCATTCATAATTTGTTGTTGCAACTGTTGTTGTGGTGTCAGTTTTACTATTGGATGTTTCAATGCTCTCTTCCTCTTACGTATATTCTTACGTAGCTTACGTGGCATTTTAAGTGAAGTTAAAAAGCGGTTTTTGACAGATGTTTATATGACACTTTTTGTTCAGCACAAAAAACTACTCGGTCAAAGTGTTGTCAGTTTTGTAAAATAACCGTCCTATCTTGTTTTAAAATGGAGAAAAGGCTTCTCAAAGTATACTTCCTTGGAACGCCCGTAACTTTTCCTGTAGCGACGATAGACCCTTACTTGTCCGGACAAAGTTATACTAAACATCTTCAGGGCTAGAGGGCACGAAGTGCCTGGAGGCCCCACTACCTTTTTTTTTTTTTCTTAAATATAAATATAGACCTGACATGAGGCATTTAATCCCTATTTGAAAATATGTCTGAAATTGGATCGTTAACATCTCATATCAACACAAATTTTTTGACACTTTATGTCTAATTTTGAATCAAAAATGATCGATGTTACGTCAAATTTCTATCAAAGAAGATATTTTTGAAAAGCATCTGTTGTATAAAGATCTTCCTGTAAAAAAACTAAAATATCTAATTTATAAGCATTATATTTATAAAAAATAACTAATTCTATTTTGAGGTAGGCGTAACCTTTTTGAAGATTTAATTTTTCAAGAATCCACTCAAGTATTGAAGAAAACGATGTCTCAATTTCTGACATTTGATGAGAACTTGTATTCATATTCATTGAGAGGATTGATATGTTTAAAGAGCTTATCATTGTATTTACTCTTAAGATATATTGATATAACTAAATAAAAAAATGACTTCACATTTCCAAATTTGTCAAAAAAAATTGAGTGTGTCAGAAAAGTGATTTTAAAAATGATATTTTTTTGTAAGAAAAAAGAACTATTTTATAAGACTAAAATGAATCGTTCACAAAGAATACTATCTCGAAAACAAAAATAAGTATTCGTGAACAAATCTGTGATATAAATTAAAACAAAAAAAAATAAAAAAAAATCATAAAACAAAAATTATATTACAATTAGTTCCTAAGAAGGTCCAAATCAACAACAATCACAGATATATTGTCCTCACTTCCTCTCTGGAAAGCCAAATCTCTCAACAATGTCGCAGCAACGTGAGGTGACTCTGAATCCAACAAAATCTTTGCAGCGCTTTCGTTGTTTACATCATCCCAAAGACCGTCGCATGCGATCACAATCCATCTGTCATCATCACTTATGTCCATCTCGATGACTTCCGGCTCATGAGAAATTCCTTTCACTTGGAAATCGCCAATACTCGTTGAACATGCGAGCATTCCGCCTGTTCTTAGACGTTTAAGACGGATCCTGTCTTCCCTGAGCCTGGCTAACTCGCTGCGACGCTCTGGTCGCATCTCTTGAGTGTAAAAAGTGACACGCCCGTCATTTTTGTAAACTACAGAACGAGAATCACCGAGTTGCATTATTGTCAAGTGGTTGTTATTCATATCTATTATTGCGAACTGCATTGTTGAACCGGCGAGGTCATTACTACTAAGTAATACGTGGTTTATGTGGTCCAAATGCTTTTTAATTGCATCAGAATTAATTGTTTCGTCGTTTCTAAGGAGATCTGGGAGGGATGCAGCGCAAGAACGTGCTACGGAATGCCCACTGTGTCCATCGAAAACAGCCGCAATGTGCAATTTCTCTCTGAAGTTCTCTCTTATTACAATTGCATCTTCCATGTTAGGTCTACGGCCAATCATTTCCGAGTAACCGATGTTTTCGCCGCTGAAGAAAAGATGTTTGGTGTCGTTGGCCACTTGTGAATCGTTTTCGAGCCGAGTTACAAGTTCGAATATCGAAATTGGGGTCGTAGAGCCTTCGAAGCTGGAATTCGTACGGAAAATATCGAGGCCCGTGAGAGAGCCAATTGAGTCTTTGTTGAAGACTTGAGATATCTGGTTTCCTGTTAATTTAATATGGGATTTAAACTGGAAAAGTGAGGGAGGAATAGAGGTAAGGTTGTTGTATGAAAGGTCGAGAGTAATAAATGGTGATGCGTATGGAATAATTGATGAGATTTGGTTGTGAGATGCGTCTATTGTGACTGGAACGAGAACGTTGGCGTTAATGAGAGGAAGATCCATGAGGTTGTTCTTTGCTACGATTAATTCGGTGATTTCTGGTAAGACAGGAAGGTTGTAAAGCTCATTTCCAATAGCATGAAGAGATTGAAGACAGTTTGGATTAGGAATGATATCGGAAAGCTCTTCAATGCCACAGAAATTGCAGCGGAAGTACTGTAATTGGAACGGAATCTGTGGAATTTCTTCTGGATCGAATGGATTTTGAGATATGTCAAGGAAAAGTAAGCTAGTATTGTATGTAAGTTCTTGAGGTAATGACTTAAGCTTGTTATTGAACAAAATGAGCTGATTCAGCTTAGGAAGTTTAAATATATCTCCATTAATCGATTCAAGTTCCATTGAGCTAATATCCAGCATCGTAATTCCGTATATTGTCCAGGAAGCATCAAAAGAAGTCAGTCTGTTATGGGCAATTGTGCAATTTCCTACATGGCCCCGCAAATATTCTGGAATTTCGGTCAAAAGATTGTCCCAAATGGTTACTTCTTCGAATTTAGGTATAACAGATGTATCGCATTTGGTAATTTTGTTGAAGTGCGCAAAGAGTTTTGTTAATGATGGAGGTAATTTCGGTAATTCTTCGATTTGATTATGCGAAAGGTCAAGATTTTCTAAGGTAGTTGCGTCGGCAATTGATGGATCGATGTCTATGAGTTGATTGTAAGATAGATTTAAATCTTCAATCTTAGGGCAAAAAGTTTGAAAATTAGTAAAGTGCTTGAGTTTGTTGAGTGATAAGTTGCAAACTCTCATCACTGGAAAAGTGATTCCTGGAGCTATTTCCTCTAATTCGTTGCCTTTTAAGTTCAAGTTTGTTACACGTTCAAATGCTTTATCGAGACGTACAATACGATTAAAGCGTAACCACATGAACTTGGTAACTTTAGGCAAATTTGGAATCGACTCTAACTTCAACCAATCTTTGATGCAATTTCCAGGGAGAAATGGACTTTGATTGGCTCCATCATCATCAATCTGTTGTCTGGTGGGAATTTCACCTGGAGGAGGATCATCGGAATAATTAAAGGGTTGAATTGAATAATATAATGTGTAATCTGTTCCTGCAGTATGTGGTCCTAGATATCGCGCTGAAAAATCATTAGCTTTATCCATATTTTCATGGACAAGAACTGCTCTGTTCGTGAAAATTTGTGGTGTGAGATAAAGCAGCTTCACTAGTTTTGGTTTACTGTCTCCATAGATGTCCATAACTTTAGATTCAGTAATATCATTTGGGAGATCAGATAAAACGAAGCTATTCGATGGGTTGAAGATGGCCTTCGAACTCATCGATAAAAAAAAAGTAAAAAATGGAATTGAGAAAGAAAATGTTTATTCATTTCTGATCGAATTTTAAGATACAATCATGAAACAAGAGTACAATTGAAAAGAAAAATCCATTCGAAAAATTAATTTGGATTTTGGACTGGAAAAAATATATTATGATTACTAGTTGGCAATTAATGTATCTATGCAATTTTTTTCTGGGTTTTTATTTCAATGAGCGAACCAAAAACGACCGACATAAAGCTATGATTTCTGTTCTAATTTAAATTCTGCAAATCAATTTAACTTCATTGTTGGGTAAAAATCATTCTGAAAATTTGAGAATTGTAAATCAAAATGGAGAATTGTCTGGTTTTCAGTTCATAAATGAGATTTGTAATATCAATGTTTTATTCGTTCGCGAAAGGAATATATAGATATAATATTAAGCAACTTCTTTAGCCTTCACAACTAATAATTTAATTCATTAATCGGAAAACGAAATCACAAATTTTTAATCCTCAAGGATATCACCATTTTTCGTTGTTTATCTTGTTGGCATCCTATTATATGAATGCAATTCAATATAGCTATCCTTCGTTTATGGTTAATATCAACACAATAAATTTTATCCAAAATTTTAAATATTTTCTATCATTGCTTCTTATTTACTTAGCGATTATTTTTGGTTGTGAAGCAAGATTGTCATTAAATATTATTCGACAAAGATCAAATTCTTCAAAAATGCCGAAACATATATTTTTACTTTGAATTGCACTATTGCATTGATCAAATATCAAAGTATATGTGGTGTTATATACTTTTACTAACTTTAATACATAAGTTTCACGTCAATATTCAGATTTTAGAATATATCTGATTTATTTTAATAGAAATCAATGTCACACTATAATTTTCAGATATTACTTCAATGATTATTCGGTAAATATTAGTGAGACACAAATAATGAATATATTTTGATTCATATTAGTTTCAAACCCAAAAAGCGCATCTAGAAAAGAAGGCTTAGAAGTATTGGAGTATAAAAAAATAAAAAATATGTACGAGTAAAGATATAATATGTAATAGAGATATTTTTTAGAAAACTTCGTAATTATTATTTCTGAGTTAATTATTTACATTTTAGGCTTCGTTAAGTGGAGCAAGTTGTTCTGTTTGCTTCTTTGGTCTGCAGAAAATGCAATAGATAATAATAAGAATAACGAAAAAGCCTAATGTAACACCAGCTGCAGCACCAGCATACTTTTTTGATGTCTTGCCAAGGGCGCTTCTTGCTTTGGCGAATAAACCAGAATCAATTCTTAACTTCTGTTGATTGAAAGCCTGATTAGGTTGTTCTGCTGCTTCATTTGAAATTGAATTTGCAAAACCAAGTAATGCAACTAACAACGCAAAGAGCATGTGCAATGACCGACTGTTTCAATTGAGTCTCAAATTTTCGAGCTCTGATCGTCCTAAAATCTATTTTGTGGGGATATTTTGGAATTTAAATATACATTATTAGGTGATTTAGATTCACTAATAATTTTATGAAGATTTTTGAAATTATTTTCAATGATTTTTTCAAAGAAAAGTGAACATTTAGTGAAAAATAAATATCTAAGTTCTATCATTTAAAATAATTAACAACATTTTTATTTGTTTACATATCGTATCACGTTTTATTTTTATCAGTCCTCTTCTTATTTCATCATTATTAGATTGCGTGCGGTGGATCACTTTATTGCACATGATAGAGTCATACTGTTTTGTGCTGAATTCGGGAACAGGACAAATTTGCCACACGGCACTTTTTTAAAAAAAATTAATGGAGCGGAGCGATACTCTTGGAACCTTGGAGCTCTTGTGTAGTGCATGAAAACTTCAAGATTCTAGCATAAAACATATATCATAGACATAATTTCTTCAAATATAATTTAAGGTTATTTTTAAAAAAATTAGAAAAGCGTAATTTAAGGTTATTGAAAAAGTGACAGTTGGCAAATTTGTCCCGCACTCTGCTGAATTCCTGTAATTTATAAAGAAAAAGAAGAAGATTTTAATCAAATCTAAAATCTAATTGCTCAAATCATATGTAAATATCGCATAAATTTCAATGTATATTTATTTACATCATTTAATTTGATAAGTATAATTCTTCTAATCTTACTATTTGCCACAATCTTCTTTACGTGTCAAAAAAATATGGATATTGATTACAAAGAGAAGGAGTCAAAAGTCATTGATAAATCCAAAATTTTTCAGACAGAAGAAGAAAGTAATGATGATATTGATGATGTTGATGTACTATTTAAACCAATTTTGCCGGGTCCAGATATGATTAAAGAGTTATTTGATAATTTTAAGGGTTATCCTCCAGAAACTCAATTATATGCGTTAATGGAATTGCGACGTGTTATTCAAAATGGGCATGAAGATGAATTTTCCACATTATTAGAAATGAAATTACCGCAAATATTATTGGAAATCGTATTTACTGCTAGTTCTAAAACTGTTGTCATTAATTCGATTCAATCCATATATAATTGGATCATTTACGCAGAAGAAATTCCAGAAATATTTTATGATACAGATTTTATGCTATTATTATTTAAGATATCAACTACGATACCTCAGATTGATGAAAATGAGGGGAACCAAATTGATTCATTTCAAAAAAAAGATGTTATTAATTTATTCCGTTGTTTGTTAACAAAAAGTCAAGATTTCGCAAATGAGGTAGACAGAGAAGAGTACATTGGAAGATGTATTCGATATATCCAATACTATTTTACTGAGAAACAATGTACACCTGCTTTCATGAATGAAATTATTGATTTATTACGAATATTTTTGCGGTCAAAGTTTATATTCGAGTTAAAAATTGAGGAATGTGAATCTATGTTTGGTATTCTTCACTTTTTGGACCAAAAATTATCAATTGAATACGCAAACTATTACGAAATTGTTTTGGATTTAGCATTAGTTTATTTTAATATAAGTGATGATTTCGCTCGGTACTTTATAGAAGAAATTGACTTAAATCAAATGATAATAAATTGTACTCACGGAGCATACTTGGAGAAGGACTCTTTAATCAGTTTTCTCTTTGAATGCAATGCAAAAGAAGGCGTTCGGATTAATGATGCATTCGTTAATTCCTTGCATTGGCAAACAATTAAAAATTTCATGAATGATGAAGACGAAATAATGTCTGAAGATTTGAACAACATTGCCGAAAGAACTTTAATATGGATTAACTCACTAGTTCGTGAATTTCCGATGCTTTTGAATGGCCCTGAATTTGAAGACTTTGTTGATGAGATGTTAACGTTTCTTGCGGATTCTGTTACGGTGTGCAGAATACAAGCAATGAAATTCCTTGCTTTATCATTTAGATTAACGTCAGAAAAAGTGAGAAATCACTTAATTGAAAATAATTTCATTAATTATTGTGCAGAATTCCTTTCAAATGATAATGAAACGATTTTAGATGTCTTATATGTAATTGATATCCAAATCCACGCTGAATCTAGTAATTCAAGTAATGAATTTAACGAATTCATGAATTATTTGACTGATCTTGGAATTCTTGATGATATTGATGAGTTGTCAGTCTCTGATAATGAAAAAATAGCTTCTGCAGCCTCTAATTTATTAGTTTTCATTAATTCTTTTGAACAATAAGTATCAACTTTATTCCTTTTTTGTTTTGTAAATATTTGTTTTATTCCAACTGAAGTTTTAGAACAAATCTTTGCTTAACATACAGGGTGTCCCACTTGGTTTTTAGCATCTCATCTTGTGTATTCTAGAATACCCATCAATTCAAATTTTTTGGGGCCCCATTTTTTAATGAAATATTAATCCCCAAAAGAATTTGAAGTATATTTCTAATATCTCTCAGGATCAATCAAAATATATAATGAACATTCCCAAAAATGTTTAAGGATAAGAGCCACCTTGCCCTTAGGAGAGAGGTTCACTTTGTAAATATTCGAAAATCAAGAGAGGTAAGTAACGTTTGCTTGATGAATAGACATCAACAGAATAGTTTAAACAGCTCCCAAATAGAATTAACTGATTAGGATTATACATTAAAAAGTCAACGATGTTTCCGAGAAATAAAATATTAATCGAAATAAACTAGTAGGAAAACATTTACATCTTCAGGAAAGTAATAGCTTATGAGTCTAATTATCTCATTTTACATCTATTGTCAATTCTATTCTAAAATTCAAAGAAATCTATACTATTTATTTATGAATACCACAGGGAAATCCGTAATGATTTGTGAAATTACTTGTATCGTAATATTATGCTTTCAATTGTTGAAATTATAAAGGTGACCAAACTATTTTTTGAAAGTCCGCCATAACTTTAATGGTACTATTTCAGCGTGTACAATGAATACAAAAATTCTAAGAGTGCCACATAAAATAGTACTTTAGACTTGAGTTAATGCTACCAAGCAAATGTTAAAAAGATGACTTTAGTATTTTGATAATCAAAGATTAAAATCATTATTGTCTAAATCAATAATCATAACGACAGAAGTTAATGTTTTTTCATAAGTGCTTTAAATCCACTTTTAAAAGTATACCTCAAAAATCAAAATATCAAAAAAAATTGGCCGATAGGTTTGGCTTTAATTTTTGTCTGCTTTTATGATTTGATATGGATGTTATAATTTTAAAAGTTGAGCCAAATTCACCAATAGATTTTTGAGATTTGCAAATACTCAATAATTTTCAGCGTGTTATCTTTTATTAAAAGAACTATTTGGTTTCAGTATCATATAAATTGATATTTACTTTCTATTTGAACCTTCATTTAGCTAACGATTTAATAATACAGATTTCATCTAGTCCTTATAAGAGAATTTTGAATTTGTTATAATAAAAAAACAAACAGATATAGCTTACACTTCTATAATAAAGATACCTTTTATAGAAATCAGTATGAAATGTGTTTTGGCTTATTGGAAGCATATCAGACATAATCGCCATAATCAAAAAATCTATATACCCAATAAGTAATAAATTTGTCGATATAGATTTTCCATAAAATTAGTTTTTAGTCTGATCTTAAAATAAATTTAATTTTTTATAAAAAAAATCACATTTAAAAGTACCTTTTTAGTAGCTCGAAATCCTGTTGGTGGATTTCGGGCGTACTTCAAAATTAGCTTTTCTTCTACATATGCAAGCTATATTTTAAATATGGAGCAAATCGGATCGGCGAAAGGAGTTTAGTTACCTTTGAAATTATAGAAAACTTTTCAATTTTTAAATTTTCCATCTTCAACTCTTGTTATTTAACTAATAGTTTTCTTTTTTACAGATTTAAATTTCGAATAGCTTTTCTGAAAACAAGACGATGACTCAAAAAAAATCTAAACAGACGAACTTATTACAACATCTTTCAATAAGTATTTGCACATGTTTTAGGATATTATATTAAATGATCTAGTAAACAAGTGTTGATTTTAAATATATGAATCAAGCTTCTGTTCCATATTAAGTTCTGTCAAAATGTAAGCTATTCAATTCTATCGTCGGGGAAAGTATCACAAATCTATCAATTTTTTTGTAAAAGTATACAAAAACATATGGTGTTCAATTAGTTTATAATAATATAACTATTAAGATTATCCAAAATAAGAAAAACTAGGTTTTGAGAACACTTTTGAGATGATAATCAAAATATTTTGATTGAAAAATAATATATTATTTATCAGATATAGAATGGATTTTTTCAAATTTAAAAATTCTGAAAAATAAACAGTTTTGTAAAGTAAAAAAAATGAACGAAAACTCGAGACCTCGTATTCCAAATGAATGGGTAGGATATATGTATGAAAAACTTGAAAGTGGTGAGTAAGGATGTCAATTTGGAAGAAAAGTGAGAAAATTTTGATTGTGAACTCATCTCTAATATTTTGGCTCCTTAATATATTTGAATCATGATCTTTGAGAAGAGTTCTCAAAAGTATTCACAAAAGCTATTTTTCCTTGAAATTTAAAAATCCTGTTTATCATATATTACCGAATTCAATTCCCTACATATTTCAAAATATTCTATGAACATTTCAATTTTTGAAAAAACATATTTTTTCCAAATATATTTATTATCATATTTCTAATAATATTTCCTAAAGCGTCACTTTTTACTTCCTCGATGATTATTTCCCTCTCAAAAAATTCAATAGCTTACATTTTGACAGAACTTAATATGAAACAGTGCTTCAGCAAGCCGCTATCAATTCAAACCATCATCTCAGAAAACTAAACAGCTAATTACCATCAACTAATGTTAGCACAACAAAAGAAAGGCAAATCTAATAAAAGTATGTCCAAGACCCCTAAGGTTCAAACCAGCTCAATGAGTTCAAACCCAAAGAAATCTAATTTAAAGAAAACAGTCCCCAACTTGGATCCTGGTTCACCTATTTTGCATTCAAATGAAGGTTCAGCATCTGTTAATGCTCCTGCTCCATTAATCCAGAATGATTTACAAAAAGATTTAATTTCCACAACAGATGATTCAGCAATAGGAGATAAGCATAGTGGAGCAAAGAAAAATAAGAATCAATCTGATTATCATCATTATCCCGAGAAAAATGGAGCAAGTCCAATCAAAGGACATGATCTTATAGTAAAGGCAGGTAGCACCAAACCTATTGTCTTTTTCTTAGATCGAGTCACAAATGTTGCTTCCGTTTCAGATGCATTGAAATTATGCATATCAAAATTACAAGAATTTAACGATACCATGCCCAATGATCAACAGAAGATTGAAATTATCGCCCTTGAAATGAAGCCTGAAAATAAATCTCTGAATGATCAAGAAGATACACCCAAAAATTCTGAAATGAAATCTATCTCCGGTTTAGCTAATTCCATAATTGCGAAAATCAGGCCCATTTTTGAAGCAAAGGGTGTTGAGCTTCCTACATTCACTGAAGCTAACTATCAAACCTTCTTTGCACACAGCAATCTCACATTTAATCAAGCAATTGATTTGGATAAAAATTGTTGGATTTCCAATGGAATCCATTGCATATTCTATGCTGCTTGCTACTCCATTGCCCGTTTAAGGAAGAATATGGACAGCATAATGCTACACCGTCGTATTGTTATCATGGATTCGCAAATGGAATCTAGGCTTCAGAAAATGAATCAAAAACTTGATTCACTTGAGCAATCAGTTAATCAAATTAAAGATGACCAAACGACAATGAATCAAAAACTTGGAGCACTTGAGACATCAGTTAATCAAATTAAAGATGACCAAACGACAATGAATCAAAAACTTGGAGCACTTGAGACATCAGTTAATCAAATTAAAGATGACCAAACGACAATGAATCAAAAACTTGGAGCACTTGAGACATCAGTTAATCAAATTAAAGATGACCAAACGACAATGAATCAAAAACTTGGAGCACTTGAGACATCAGTTAATCAAATTAAAGATGACCAAACGACAATGAATCAAAAACTTGGAGCACTTGAGACATCAGTTAATCAAATTAAAGATGACCAAACGACAATGAATCAAAAACTTGGAGCACTTGAGACATCAGTTAATCAAATTAAAGATGACCAAACGACAATGAATCAAAAACTTAGTAAACTTGATTCACTTGAGCAATCAGTTAATAATATTACCCAAATGCTGACCAAATTAAACGCACAATATGAAACAAATGATAAGATCATTCAATTTGTTGCCTTTGGATACCATAAAACACATAAAAATGAAGGAAACTTCGAAATAATGCGGAGCGAACTCACAGATTATATGTGGCCAGAAAACCAGTGATTGCCTGCCAAAACCAGATCCTAATATTTTTATTCTAATTTATTGATTCTAATCTTAAAACTTTTTTATTTTATATATAGTTGCGTCTTTGCCGGTGGAAAAGTAAAATCGGAGGAAAAGCTTATTCCAAAATTTATCTTTCCTTTGGTCGCCCAACAGATTCGAAAAAAATATCAGCCATTTGTTTTAGAATCATCTAATAACTCTATCCCCAAAATTAGAAGCAAATCGGAATTGTAAACCCTAGTTTTACTGATTACGGCTTTACTGTCAGTGATTTGGGCGTACATTTATTGAACACACATGAGTTTTTCAGATAGATATTGTTAACATTGAATATTAAGCATAATCGTAATATTTTCATTCAAAATTAATTGATGTATTGTTAAAATTTTTGCCAAAATCTTTTCAGAAATGGATCCCGTTGATGAACTCTACAATAGACAATTAAAAGTCTACACCAGAGAGGGTCAAGAGAAGCTTGCCGCATCAACAGTCCTTATGATTGGCTGTGGTGGCTTAGGAAGCACAGTTTCATTAGTTTTATCAAGATCCGGCGTTGGCCACTTAGTTATTGTTGATAAGGATACTGTTGCCATGTCTAACATACATAGACAAATCCTTTACAACAGAGAAGACGTTGGAAAGTTGAAAGTTGAAGCAGCTACTGCAAATCCATTGCTTCAACTCTCTAAGGTTACACCAATTAACATACATATTGATGAAGCTGCTGCAAGTAAGCTTATCGAAGAATACAAACCAATCGTTGTTATGGACTGCACTGATAATTTCGATGTAAGGATCGCTGTCAATGCTGCATGCGCTAAACACTCTGTTCCATTTGTTTACGGATCAATTACAGGCCTCAATGGACAAGTTTCTGTCTTCTGTTACCATGAAAAGGATCCAAATTGTCCATGTTTCAATTGCATACACCCAGAAAAGCCAACACCACTTGAGGGTCCACCACCAGTCGTCCCAGGCATATGCACAATTACAGGAACCTTCCAGGCTCAGCAGGCAATTGCTATTATCACTGGAGTTGGTCATATCCTCGTGAAGGAGCTATTTACGATCGATATTGATAGACTCAAGTTCAGAACATTCAGAATGAGAGATAGAAGCCCAGATTGCCCTGTTTGTGGAAAGCATAAATAAAAATTATAGAGAAAATATAGATAAACCTTACTTTTCTTTAACTTTTATTTATTTATAGTCAATGTACTTAGTATTCCATATAGTTATCTGTCGAATTCCAGGAAATCTTAATTACAATTACTTAAAATATTGAGTATAAATGGGTAACTCCATGATAGTTTGGTTAACAAACCATAAGGGAAATTAAATATCCAACCAAGTGAATAACCTCACAAATTCAATTGAGCAAAGTAAAAAAATCCGAATTGTCTGGAAATTTGTCAGACATATATAAAGAACTAAGAAAAGCAAATTTGCAAGCAAGTTCAAGAGCAGTCAGTATACATTAAGGACAAAATCGTCCTAAAGATGCAGCGTGCATCACTCTGCCGCTTTGACAGAGAACCTCAGCAAAATTGCCAACAAATCAGCTCATCAAGGCCGTCATGTACCAGTACAACGGAAAGCACGTCTTCTTCAACATCAGAGGCGACTTAGATGTTTCTGAAGACAAATTACGTCATTTCCTTGGTTTTGTTGACTCTTCAACACCACTTGAGCTCGCTCCACAAGAATTACTCGACAAACATGGGTTAGTACCAGGATTTGTGTGCATCGTTGGCATGAAACGCGCTGGAGAAGCAATTGCTATTTGCGATGAGAGCTACAGAACAGTCCACTGCGGTGTAACAGGTGCCAATAAGGTCGGTTATCACTATACCAACTACAATATTCCAAGAGATACACAGAAATTGGCAAAGAATATCGTATACACTGATATTGCACTTAACCCAACAGTAGTTAAGGGTGTAATGATCGCTAAAGTCGCTCGTTGCACAGCATTCCCAGCAGAAGTCCTCGGAAACGGCTCAAAACCAGTCAAGACCACCATTATTCAAATTAACCATCCGCTTGATCGATTTAGCTTACGTTATGATACAGAACCATCTTCTTGATGGTGTTTACGTCATCAATATCTTGAAGACTGAAGATAAACTCAATAATGCACTCGCAGAGAATACAAAGGCTTACGGAATTACTTCTGTTGTCGTTGATAACAGACCAAAAGCAAACTTTGGAGCTAAATCCGACACAACCAAATTATCTTGCCTTAAACGCACTGTTTTCGTTTCCAACAAGACAGAAGATGATACAGTCATGGTTAGAGAAACACCAGTTAAGATCTCAGAACTTGTTGAGTATTTCCGCACACATTAAATAAAAAAATTGAATAAAATTCTTAAATTTTTTAGTAAATACCATAAAAATCGTGATTGTGTCACTGAATATTGCGTTTCTTTTTTGTTTTATTTCAACATTTTTTCCAAAATTTTTTTGTTTTTGAAAAAATGAATTAAAAAATCTAGAAAATTTCTTCAAAAATTATGATTTTAAAATATTTTTGGAATTTTTACAAAAATAAATATAAGCTATTTTAAATAATTTTATATATTCTATTGTTTACACCTAGAAAATTCATATAAATTACGTAATTTTAAATAATATATCACCAATATCAAATAAATTCAATTGTTATCTATTAACATAGCAATTTTTTAAAATTTTAATTGTCATGCTTAACTGTTAATTGTCATAATCTATTTTGATTACAAAAAAATTTTATTTTATTCAAAGAATTACTAAAATATTTATATGAATCTAATTGGCTTTAAACATATTAAGAGTTTTTATTCTTGAAGTCGAATATAATTTAAAAATAACATAAATTTTGTAAATAATAACTTATTCATCATAAGTACTATCAATTTTCTCATCGGAGTAAGTATATTCATAGTCATTATTTGCAGGCTGCTGAGCTGCAGGCTTTGCAGCCGGAGCTGGGGGTTCATCACTGTATTCGTACGTATAAACTGCTTCATCCTTCTGTTCCTTATCATCTTTCTTTTCAGCTGTGTCTATATCGCTATATGAATAGTCATCATTCTTCTTCGGAGTTCCGTCATCGAATTCTTCGTAGGTATAAGTATCAGATTTCGGTTTTTGAGCCTGTTGAGGTGTTCCTGGCTTGACAACTGGCTCATCTTCCGAATATGTATATGAATAGTCGGCGTTATTTTGTGGTTGTTCCTTTGGTTTTTCATCAATTGAAACAGAATAGGAATAATCAGCTGATTCTGGCTTCTTCTGCTCGACTGGGGCTGGTTTAGGAGGTTCTTCGTCTGAATAAGTGTATGTATATTCTTCTTTTTGATCATTATTATTTTGTTGGTTTCTTTCTTTGGAATCAACGCTTTCTGTGAATGTGTACTCATGTTTCTTAGGTGGTGGTTGCTGATTGTCCTTGGATTCAAGATCTTCGTCGGAATATTCAGAATATTCTTCTTGTTCTTTGGCTTCTGGCTGTTTCTGAGGAGAAACAGGTTGCTGCTCTGGTGTATATGAGTAAGAATATTCTTCCTGCTTTGGAGATTCTTGTTTTGGTGGTGTTTGTGGTTTTTCTGGAGTTTCTGGCTTATTATTGTCTTCTGGAGTGTATGAATATGAGTATTCTTCCTTCTTTGGAGAAGATGCCTTTGGTGATGCTGATTTCTTAGGTGATTCAGGATCACTGACTGTATATACGTAAGAATCGTTTCCAGATTCATCATGAACAGAATTTTCTTCTGGCTTTTTAGGTGAAGGTGACGGAGGCTTTTCATCATTAGATGCATATGTATAGCTTTGGCTTTCTTCTTGATTATTATAAACTTTTGCAGCTTCTTCACCCATTTGTATGGATTTCGTAGCTGTGTTTGGTTCTCCTGTTGGATTTGTGTAAGAGAAGTGGAATCCTTTAGATGAGTTAACGCTCTTGCTTTCTTTTGTTGATCTTGGACTGCTTGGCTCCAATCCACGCGATTTAACAGCAGATCCATGAGATACATTGGCTTTGGGAGCTCCTCCACGCACAGTTGGGATGGTGGAAGGAGATGTGATCGGATCAAGAGATAATTCAGGAGGAGGAACAAGAGCTTGCTCTTTTCTGAACTCATTGAGGCGATCGTCAAATGTTTTTCTGCCGTTTTCGTTCGCTGTCTGTAATAATTTCTCAAAATAAATTTCTCTATCGTGTTGTGCGAAAAATCCTGTAGATTTAGGATCGCCAACTTGTGACATTTCGAGATGTGCTGTCTTGTATGATTCTGTAAGCTTATTTTGTTTCATGAAATCGTAGATGAATTCTAATGCAATTTTCCAAGCAAGAGTTTTATGGCATTGACGTGGATGTGGCTTGATAGAATCGAAAATCTTATTATCAGCTTGTACTATTGCTTCACAAGTTTGATAATTAATTTTTGCTTGTAAATGATTCTCAACTCCGTATTTTTTGAGTTCTTGATTAGTACGCTCACGAAGCTGTTCCTGAGTTAGCTTTGGTGGGTACTTTTTTTCCATTGGAAGACGAAGTTTTGATGACATTTTTGCTTATTTTTTTTTATACTCGCAGCCGTTAATAAAAAAGTGAAACATGCTTCTTCAGTAATAATGTTGTGTAAGCTAATCAACATAATCATTTCATCTGGCCAGACAATATAAGATCCGATCCTCTTATATATCAATACTTTTTTCTGTGATTTATCAATTTCTTCAAATAATTATCTATGTTGAAGATAGTTTGAAGAGTGTTTTCATTTATATAGCAGGTGAGTGATATGTTATTAAGCGGATTAAATGATATTTTCAAGTCGATATTTTTTTCAAATTTTTTTCGTAAAAATGATGAACTGAAAGAATTTTATAATAAATTTATAATATTTAATATAAGTTTACATAGAAAGAATATCAATTGAAGGATTATTTATTGAATATATATAACATATTAAAACAATTCTAAAAGAGAATTAATGGCAATGACAACATCCATCATTTCATTCTTTTCTGCGTCAGCAAGAATCCTCTGCATCAACTTTTTAGCGTTTTGTTCGTTATCTGTTTCAAAATACAATGGAAGTATGATGAGAACATCTAAGTAGAATCTAGGCTGGAAGTTGTAGTCTGGAATTGAAAGGATTTTCTCGAGTAATGATAAAAATTCAGTCATATATTGCTTGTCAAGAGTAGAAAAAGACATAGCAAACACATGGAATGCAAATGTGATTGATTTACCTGGAACGGCTAATGATTTTGGTTGCTTCACGATTTGACGCTTTGTTAATTCTTGATCTTTAACAATTGGATAAGGCATAGCACGTGTTGAAGCTACAGACTTCTGTGCAGTTGAAGCTATTTTATATAAAAGGCTTGTTGCTGCATGTTTAACATCGTCATTATCTGTTAATGAAAGATAAATCAGCGGAGGGATTGCTTCAACGCAATTGAGATCCCATAAGCTCTTTATCTCTGGAATTTTATCTTTCGAATTTATGAGCTTCTCTATAATCGACATTCGATTGTCAAAGCACTATTGGACGATAGCTCGTGAATTTATTTGGATTTAATGAAACTTCTTTAATCCTATTAATGCACCTCCAGTTCTCTATTTTCCTTTTCAATCGAACCTAACTTCTCTAATAATTTATTTTGAATTTTTTGATTTGATGATTTAACTAAAATGAATCAATATATAGCTAATAACGATAGGAAAATAATAGATATATTGAGTTAGACTGTTTAGATTCTTTTTAAAATTTAATTTTATCGAAGAATTTTAGATTTTATATGATTATTATGAAGTAACGAAGTAAAAAGCTTTAAGTTGAGAACAAAAACATACAAAAAACAGTTTAATATAATAACAAAAATTAAAAATCTGGTTGAATTTCAGAAGATGGGAATTTTTGATCGAGTGTTTTGTTGAATGATGGCTTGTACATTTCACATTGAACAACACCATATTCACCAGGACCTGGAGTAATGCTTTTAGAATCCCTAAATCGAACAGAACGACTAACAGAAGCTGAAGGTCTTTTAGCCGAAGGAAGTGTATATGTATCAGGTGCTGGAACATCTGTATCGTCTTTTCCGAATCTTTTTCCTTTTCCAAATTTAATTCCGAGGGATGAAGTAGCATTTCTAACTCCGTAAGCAGCTGGGCCTGGGTTAGGTTCCTTATTAACGAGGCAGTCACGATCAATGCTAGATTTGAAGTCTGGATTTGGAATTCTTCTTTTTTCGAGTTGTTCGATTTGGGAATTAAATGTAATATCGTAATCACCTGGAGCAGGTCCGTATTGTCTTTGCCATATTTCGCGCTTTGTTGCTTTTGGAATTACGCCTCCAGTATGAACAATTGTAGATTTGCTTGTTTCGTAATAGCCAGGGCCAGGAACATTGACTGGATAGCCACTATACGGTTGTCTGTCAATACCGAAATCACCACGTTTCGATACTTTCTTCTTAACCATTCCATCTGGTAACATATACTTTCCAGGACCAGGAATTCCGTTATCTGTAATATAAGGAATAGTCCTCTTCGTATTTCCACCAAATGGGCCTTTTGTCATTTTGGCTGCTGGCCATGCTTTGTGCTCTAACATGTAGCTATCGTAAACAACTTGATCGCCAAAGATATCTCGTTTATCTTTCGCTCTAAAGAATGGTGATGGCTTGTCAGAGATCTTAATTTTCCTATCGATATTGTATTGTCCTGGGCCTGGAATGCCATTATCAACAACTGGTTCACGCTGTGGTGCTCTACTGTATGAAAAAGAGCCTTGGATACTATAGGATTTCGCCTCTTGCGCTGTGTATGCGCCAGGACCTGGTAAATCTGCTTTGACAATGTCATCATCGAAAGGAACTCTTGTATTTACGTTTTCTGGAATGTCAGCCTTTGGATTTTTATGAACGCCTCTTGTCCAATCAGCATCTATTGTATATGCTCCTGGTCCAGGATTCTTTTTCTCGTCTTCAAAATATTTTCTATCTGATTTAGAGATTTTTGCAAAAGCAGAACCGGTCAAAATTGGTATATTCGGATCATACATTCCGGGAGCAGGATTTGATTCCTTTTCTAGATTAGGAAATAACTCTCTTCTTGTTGTAGATCCGAAAGGTATTGGTGCTTTATACCTATAATGAGTATATTTAGGGTCATAAAGTCCAGGACCAACATTTTCATCTGTTGTGTGTTGTGCAAAAGTAAAATTTCTCGATGTTTTAGTTGTTATACTCATTTCTTTATTTTTGAAAAAAATACACGTTTTTTTTGGAAAAAGTGACGATGTATCGAGATTTAATGGAAAAATCACATATAACTCATAAATTTACCAGCAGATCAAAGAAATAATGGTATAAGTAAATAGCATAAGTTGAGTATGTTCTACGATTCTGATATTTTTTCATAATTTTCATATCTCAGCAAAATTTTACTCGTAAACAACTTATTACCATAAATAATATGTAATAGTATCTTAGGCTTGAAGCAGTAAAGTGATAGATATTGCTTATCTTCTTCTGTAAGTTTTAGTTTCCTTTATATTTTGTCAAATGCAGTATTAGGAAGAATTTATGATTGATTAACGATTACATGTGATAGAGTAACTCGAGGCGGTGCACACGATCTACTGCTGCTTCTTTATCTTGAGGTCAACGCAATTAAATTTTAAAATTTACTTCATAATTTTTTGATTAATACTGATATTTCATCCATAATCCAATATTACAAATCGATAAAAAATCTTTGTATTTCAATAGTTATCAATAAATAATGACTGAATTTCGATATATACTCAGAATATCCGAAAAATAACGAAAACTTTGACCGGTCAATTATGTAAAGAAATTAGACCTTCCTCCCAAAATTGAGAGGCCCGGTAAATTTTTTACCCCTTTTTGGCGGGATGTTCGAATTCATTTAATTGTTTGATGACCGGTTCAAGAGCGAGCGCCCAGTTAATTCTCGCCAGACAGTTCAAGGAAATCTCACACAACTCAACCAACATGTTCTCTGCTGGTTTAATTGATAACGATGTCTTTAAATGGAGAGTTACAGTATTTGGTCCGGCAGGAACACCATATGAAGGAGGCTATTACCCAGCAGTACTCAATTTTCCAGATGACTATCCAAATAATCCACCTACAATGAAATTCATTTGCCCCATGTTCCATCCAAATATCAAAAACACAGGCGAAGTTTGCATTTCCATTCTTCACCCACCGGGCAAAGATCAATACGAATACGAAGACAAATCAGAGAGATGGCTCCCAATTCATACTGTTGAATCCATTATTATCTCTGTTCTATCCATGCTTTCAGATCCAAATCCAGAATCGCCAATGAATATAGAGGCTGCAAAGATATACAAGAATGATATCGATGAATATAAGAAGCGCGTTAGAAAGACCGCCGAAGATTCTCTACAGTATTGTGCTCAATAGATCATTTTTTATAGTATAGTAAAGTAATAATCATTATTTGTATATCTCAAAAGCACAATCTTTTGAGTTTCTCGTCCATGATTAATTTGAGATCTTTATTAAATGTTAAAATAAAAAGCTTATATATTTATCCATCTTTTCTTTTTCCTCCGAGACCTTGAAAATCCATAGAGTTTGATCGGCTGTCATTATTATTTATTTTGGTATTTAAATTATTGACTTATTTTGATATAAAAATCTTTAAAAAGGATAACACCTATATTAACTTAAGGCACTTTCTTGCAATAATATGTAAAAATTTTGAAGAGTTAAGAAAATAATTTTTATTTGTGTTTATATTATCATTGTACATAAAATAAATCTGGCTAAAGATGTGCCTGTATAGCAAGATGTGTAACTTTATGTATTTTAATTGAAGAATTTCTGAAGTTTTTGGCGGCCAACAGCGAGGAGAACAATAATGCCATAAATAATAGTTCCAATGATGATGGTAAGTGTAACTGAAGCTGGAGTACGGTTATACAAAACAATCTTTGACTTTGTTGCTGAGTACAATTTTGGACAATTTGTTGTTGTCCAACGGTCGATCTTTACCTGGCCAAACTTGGACATCCACTGAGCAATTGTATCTACATACTTTGGATCTCTGACATGGACCATTCTTGGCTGCATTGCGACCTTTGTCCAGTAAATTGCGTTAACTGAGCGGCGTTCGACCATAACGGCTGAGTTATCTGTATTGTACATCATTCTGAGAAGAGCTTCTGATACAGCCCATGCGATATCGTTAGCGCGTTCATCGTCAGATTTGAAATCTGTGATATGAGCAAGGTCATCTTCCTCTTCTGGAGCTGTAATGGAGATGGCACTAAGAAGGTGAGATCCGTAAACGAGTTGGCCGTGCTTTTCTTCTGAAAGATCGCATTCAAATGGGATTCCTGTTGTATTAAGAGCATCTTTAAGGCAGTACATGAACTTTGTAAAGGCTGAATCACGCTTTAGCTTTGTTGCAAAGTGTCCTTTGAGTGTCTTTGAAGCGATGTTTTCTAATGAGAGAGCAAACTCAACAGAAAAGCCATGTGGTGTGGAGATTGAGTTGATGAAGTGCTCGAGACCTTCCATAGCACAGTATTGGCCATCTACGAGGGCAAACATCAAAACCCAATTATTTGTAACAGGGAATTTAGAAACAAGACGCATGGATTCGAGGAAAGCTGCAAGAGCAATGCCATTGCGGTTAGCACCAATGTTTGCTGATGGAACAACAGAGAATGAATCAAATGGAGCGGAAATTATTGCAATTCTCTGACGATCAAATGTCTTTGATGAGTTCATTGTTGCAACAACGTTCTGTAATTTGACTTTCTTCAGTCCTGAGTTGGATGGATTTTCAATAGTTTTGACATATGTGTAGTTTGTTGGGATTTTTTGATTGCCATAAGCAAAGTAAATTGGTGATTTATGTCCTGACTTGAGTAAAAGCTTTTCAAGTTCACTTGTGTCAATTTGTTTTTCTGGAACTTGAATAATGATAGGTGAGGAAACATTTAGATGCTTTTTAAGTTCATCTAATGTAATTTTTTCGAGATCTACGATAACTGCTTGATTGGAATCTGGCTTTGAGTTAAAATCTCCTAATGCAGAATCAAATGAAGCTCTTGTCGAGCCAAATGATGTAGAGTCTGATACATTTGGACTAAACTGAAGGAGTCTGTCAACATCCACCGTGCTCCAGCATGAAACAAGGTGAGAAAGGGTAAGAAAAACAAACATTTTTACAAAAAGGGCCAAACACTTTTTTATTGGATGTTTTTTTCGTGAATCAAAAACAATACAGATAGAATAGCCAACTACCAGGAATACAATAAATCATATTCGAACGATGATTTTTAAATGTTTGAAAAAAATTTTGATTCAGATATCAATATTATCGATCAAAAAACTTGAAATGTAAACATTCCAGCAAGAATCTAGCGAAAAGAGATCATAAATTTCATATTTCTTAAATAATGGAAATTATAGATTTTATCCAATTTGTTCCTATGTTTTTTGACAAATTGTTATGTTGATAATCATAGAATATGCCATTAAGTAGTTGATATACATTATGATTTTTAAATACCACAATGGAAATTTACCAATGCGTGGCAGTATTGGTGGTGTTTTTTCATTCTGATGGAAATGTCATGTAAAGTTCTTAAATAATTGTTTTGTGGCAAAAGTTATGGAAAAAATATTGAATGAGAGTTAAATGTGCTTTGCCTTTTTTTGCTTATATTTCATTAGTCATATCCATATTTTATTAGTTTTCCTTTTCCATTGGTGTTAAAAAAAATATCCGGAAAAATAAAATTGAGAGGTTTTAAATCAATCACTTTTTTTCATCATTTCCAATGCTTGTCTCTTATCAGACTATGTCGGAGTTTGACTCACAATCAAAGATGATATTATACCTCTACAATCAATCTCACCAAGTTAAAACAGTCGTAGTAACAAAAAACTCATCTATTAGTATATTAGATTTGGTTTGCAAAAGTGACAAATTTATTCCATCTTATATATATAATGGTAGACTTCTCGTGAGAAACATGAAATTCAAGGAATATGAAATTCAGAGTGATGCCTGCATTTATGTGACAAACAACATATCCTACTATTTTTCCAATAAAAATGTTTTAGATGAACTAATGAATAAAAACAATTTTATCAATTCAAACATTCAAATGAATGCACTTAGAACAGCTGATAACAGTTTTAGAAATGAAATGGATAGACTTTGTGACCTCCATAAGATCCACATTGAAAAAGAGATGATTAGACAGGCCAATAGAAAACTTCGAAACAAAACTAATATCCCAATCATTAAAAAAGAAGTCCAAGTTTCAATTCCAAAATCGGAACTCTCAACACAGCCACTCCCAAAGTTCTGGTGAGTTTTCTTAGAGATATAGAAAATCAATATCTCTTGCCCAAAAATTGAATAGATCCTAGATTTTGTGGATCTAATATATTAGAGTCTTGTTTTTAATTAAATCAATATTTGTTAACGTCAACAATGGAAGAATTTTTTAAAATTTACTACATGTGTCCGAACAATTGTCAAAAAATCAAATAACAACATCCATCTGAGCAATTATAATAACTAATTTATGGTACATTCAATTCCTATTTTTTGAAAATTTTTGCTACAAAAGCTGTCAAAAATTTAAATATCATTACATTTAAATTTTGTTTCAGCAGCATTAAAAGTAAGTAATTCTAATTTTTGAAAAAAATTTTTTCACCCGTTTTTTGACAAATTACCACTGATCAAAGAATTTTGAATTCAGTTAAACCAACGCTCTAGGATCACATTTATCAAAATTTTAAACATCTATGCATTTACAGACTTCAAAGGCTATATCGGCCATATTACCGCAACACTAGAATCCAAAATTCTTTTTTATCTATTTCAAATTTAACATAAAATCATATTTGCAAATATAGATTTAAACAATTTTCTTTAAGTATATGACTTCTCTACATGGCAATCAAATACAAACTCTCCAAAGAATCAATTGGATCATTAAATGTCACTGAAACCGAAAACCAGTATACATTTGGTTATCCATGTAATGATAGTATATATGACTGCACACCATACACAGTTGACTTGAGTAGCGGCACTTATCTTATCGAAGCATGGGGATCTGTTGGTTCATTCCAACATCATCAAGCAGGAGATTCGATTCCTGGCCTGGGAGGCTATTCTTCAGGCGTCCTAAAAGTAAAAAACCCATTGACTCTCTATTTATATATTGGATCAATTTCATTTTTTAATTCCATGTTTAGTTACACTTCGAAAGGAAATTATTTCTTTGCTATCGGGGGTGGTTCCTCCGACGTGAGATTGAACGCAAGTAAAACCTTTGATTGGTCAGATCCTATTTCCCTACGCTCGCGTATTCTAATTGCGGGCGGTGGTGGGGGCTCAGAGTGGCATAATTCCATTGGGGGAAATGGAGGAGGCCTTGAAGGAGGAAAAGGCTTCTCCAACTGCAGTTTGAATTATGAACCATGCCCAAATTCGATTTCTGGGGGTGGTACACAGAGATCTGGTGGAAGCTCAGCCCCAAATTTTAGAACATTGATTGGATATCAAGGATCGTTCGGAGTTTCTTATGTAAATTATAACTCTGATGATATGGGAGGAATCGGAGGAAATGGATATTTCAGCGGCGGATCTGTTGATAGGGCAGGTGCTGGTGGAGGGGGAAGCTCCTTTATTTCGGGATATGATGGTTGTATTGCATTGAATAGCTCATTAAATGAAAATCCAAGCCCAATAAATTCCTCAATTCATTATTCAGGAATAAAATTCATAAATCCTGTAATGATACAAGGAAATAACACTATGCCTCTTTTCTTCAAATCAGAGACCTCAATCCGAGGAATTGGAAATAATAATAGAGGTGCAATAAGGATCACAATAGTTTCTCTAAAAAAATGCACAGAAAATTCAATGTGCCAAATATATTTTCCTTTTCTTTTCACAATCTTTCCATGTCTAATATAGAATAAATAATTTTGTCTTTACTATAACTTTCGAAAGCATTCCAATTAATGGGTTTAAGTTGTATTTTTGTGAAAATGTGATGACATAAGTGCTATTTTGTTCCCTTTGAAAACAAAATTAGTTTCTTCTTCGTGTTTAATTTCTAATTCAACTTTAAGATGAACTTCAAAGAGAATAGATAGTTAATTTTTTTCCATGATATTTCAATTTTTTTTCTGTTTCAGCGCATCAGAAAAATATCTGGAGTTTTAAAATATATTTAATGGTGCACATACGTTCATCTGACTTTATTTCAAATTCATGACAAATTTCATTCAGACTATAGTTAAAGGATGTTATTTCGACATTTCGAAACCTGGTACATATGGATCTACTGGTTTATGTTTTGCAGAAGTCGAACTTGAATTTCCAGAAAAAACAAAAGAAGAAACAAAGACAGAAATCAAAGAAGAAATCAAAGTTAACTACAAACGAAAAAATAAACTATTCTTCATTGTTTTTCTGGTTTCTATCATATCTTAATAAAAACATATTCAATTTGAGTATTCATTGACCTTGATCACGCACAATAATGGTCGCATAAAATGAAACAGAGTTTAGAGTAAATATAGAAGAATATCAATATCATTCTGTAAATATTCTTTTATTTCGGTTTTCACATTTGAGGATTGAGTATCTATCTAAAACAGATGCGACAATATTTTCGGGTTTATTTTTAAGGCTGCACTTACGCCCTTCTGACTTTGATTCAAATTTTTGACAACTGGCTTGAAGAGAGAGGGTCAAAGTTGCTATTTGTCACTTTTCCACAAGAATATAATGGGGAAAAAGTTATCATATAGTTGATCTCATTCACTGAGGTGAGAGATGCATGTAGTGTAATTTGATAAACAGTGGGATTGCTGCTCTAAGTCCTAGGTTCGAGACACATTGACTTCATTTTTCTCTTTTTTATTGACGTAAACTATTCAATTTTTGTGTTCTCCATTCAAATTTCAGAATTTTTTTTGCAGATTTCACGCTACATTCGAAGTTACCTTTTGTAACAACCACCACTGCCTACGAAAGACGAAAGTGTGTCACGATTTCACCCGGAAATCCGACGGTTGTTTAAGAGTAAGCACTTTTGGCACCTACTCCTGGCTTGAAGCGTCATTGAAAATTAACCTTAAACATCTAAATTGAAAGCCATGTCATAGGGGTGTAAGTGCACCCTTAAGTCCTCCTTTAAAAATATCAATTCAAATGAATAAATCAAATAGAAAACAATTCACTGGAGAGAAAATATGAATTCAAATGACTTTTCAGCTGTTTGGTCTGAGAGAAGCCTTAAAAACAATGTTGTTTATAGTTGTGAAATAAGTTTGAAGTAATTTATAAATAAAAATTTATTGAATAATCCACAAATCATCAATTTTCTCAACAAAACCTCGAAGAGTGGTAAGACGCTTACGCATGTTAGTGCCGAACTCAAGAACCTCGTCCGACAAAACAAATGCTTCACGCTTCTTGCGGTCAAGACCAACAATACTACCAAATGTGCCGAATGGAGTAGAACCACATTCGGAAATACAAATAACACGGTTAGAAATAGCTGCTGATTGGTTTTCGCTTTTCTGCATACCACGTGACAAAATAGAACTAATAGGTATTGTAACTTCGCATATTTCTTCATCTTCAATACGTGAACCAATAAGAAGACGCTCCAAACTCTCTAATGTACTCTGTTCGATTGTCATGTATTTGTTGTCAACTAAGTAGAATTTCGATGTCTTACTGACTTCGCGGATCCACTGGACAAGTTCTCGTGTCTTTCGGTCAACTTCACTCGGAGATCCATCGAAAAGATCTGTTTTGTCAACAAATTTTAATTCGCGTGAATCATCGTAATTTCGCAAAAAATCTAAAAGTTTACCCGATCGTTTGAAATACTCAGCGATGATGAATTTAGCTTCTTTAGAAAGTTGCAATGTCTTACCACTATAATTAACAAATCCTTCTAAAAATTTGTCGTCGTAGAAAAGAGTCAATGCAACATTCAAATCTTTTTCACGTGAAACTGGAAGAGAACTGAGTGCGGCGTGGAAAAGACTAGGATCAACACCAAATTCTTGAAGAACACTGTCGTAGCTAACCCAGTTATCACGACTTCCTTCAAATTCTTGTTTCATACTTGTTGGATAGATACGTTTAAAAATTTTAACATCGACTCCGTCGCCTTTGATCTGTTGAATAACACCGACATTTCCTGAGTATTCACCACAAGTAACAACAACTTTCATACCTTCTCGAAGTGATTCAATGTTCTGTGTTGTGAAAAATCGTTCCAATGTGTTAGTCTTAGAAACTGGAACACAAAGTTCAAATGGAACATATGTGATTTCGTTGGCGAATGTGAAGCGAGTCTCACCCGAATTAGAGATACAAAGTAAACGAACACCAAGAATGACTTTGCACTGTTTAACATCAAGTGCGTAATCTTTCTTGTACTTGTAGATCATGTTACAAAACTCTGTACTAAGTGATGGAATCGCGCAGATGGATCCATCTTTGCTGATAGATAATGCACCGGCACAGTCACCAACTTGACAAACTAAACAGGGACGTAAGAATGGCCAGTTGACAAGAACAACTTTACCAAGGACTTCACCTGGATCTTCGAAATCAGAAAGGCCCATGGGTGGAAATTCTTCGTAGCGGCTACAATCAACGGAAATAAGCAATGATTCGCCTTGACTTGGACGTTGGAAGATGTTGACAGGAACAACTGTGCGAATGATACTCATAGGCATAGGAGGATTGCTGAAGAGTGGTAAGCCGGGTGGAATACAATATGACTTAGTTGATTTTGGTCGTGGAAATGTGACATCAAAGGGAACTTCACCTTCAGATGAAATGATATATGATGGAATAATAGTGTTTCGCTCGGTTTCGTTTGGTCCAAGTTTGGAAAGATTGGAAGAAACAAGTTCTCGAACTTTCTCAACATCAACAAATGGAATTAAAACAACACCTTCGTGTTCAACGGCACGACCGTTCAAATCGATACTGAATGATGTAGGGTAGTATGATGAGATAGGTGATGGACTGAACATTAATGATGAAAGTGCTGATGGAAGAAGGTTTGCTGATTGTGGTGGTAAAATGCACAAAAGTTGTTCGAATGGAAGTGGTGGTCGAGATAGTTCGAAATGTGAAGAGTGTTCAAGAACATACTCTGAAACGATGATGAGAGGTGGTGCGTAAAAGTATTGGAAACACCAAGTCCATGAAGGACAGCCTTCTGTGTAATATTCAAGAACCCAGTCGAATGAGTCAAGAACTGAAAATGATAGTTTCTTCTCAAATTCTGGATCTCTCTTTGTTTCCTCTGGATACTTTTCACTGATGTATGTTCGTGCTGTTTTCAAGTAATTTTGCATCTGTTTGTCTTGTTCTGCCTTTTCTTGTTTCTTAGATTTGTTCTTGAGTTGATGAACAACAGAACGAAGGAAAATCTGAAGGGCAGGCTTATTAAACTTGCCGTCAACGATCAAATACTGCTTCGTCTCGAGCAGTGACTTCTGATAAGCAATGACAACTTGGTCAAAGTCGCCGTGTTGAATGATTACATCAGGGAAATGAGGAATGAAGTCGTTTCCGATCAAGAAAGAGAAACCGGCGAAATCATCAACAAGGTTGGATAAAGGAATACCAGGGAAATCGTAGGAAAGATACTCTTTTAATATTGGTAAATGTAATAACTCAAAATCATCGGCTCCTGTCTTGAGTTTCGCGAGTTTTCCGTTGCCTACATTCTCATTGGGACCAACCCAGGCATCCCATTCTCTCATAATATAAATATATTTTTCTTTGGATTGTAAAGCTAAGAAAATAAGATCTGCGTCGGGTGAGTAGATACAGTGTGTTGAGTTTGGATCGTAATCGGCGGTTTTTCGAATTTCACGAATGTAATTGAAGAATTTATGTTCTCCTTCGCCAGGAGTACGATGTGAGCTGTAAATTAACTGAGGAGTAGACCAAGCTCTATCGGAATTTACTTTTCTCTTGAAGTATTCGAGTAAATGTTGATGTAAATCTTCCATAAAAGTTGTACCAACGGAAATTGCTGTTGTATTGAATGCAGCACCAACACTATCACGTGCTGCAACAAATCTACGAGATCTTTGCTGAGTGCATTTGGCAAATGGAGCTGGACCATCAACTGAAATGAATAAAACAATTTGTGGCTTAATGACTTGTACTAAAACATCTAAATATCGGCATACTTCGTTAAATAATTGTAGTATTGTTCCTCCAGAAGACATACTAATTGACCTAAGCGCATTATAAATAATACAATTGAAATCTATATAAAAATAATCAATTTTTGGCCTCGCTGGATCATTCATCCTCCTTCTTACAAGAGGGTAACGTTGAGTGACCCATCTATAGAAGCCTGGAACACCCATTTTTGTCTAATTTAAATTTGAATAAATGTAAATCTAAAAAATCAATCCAAGATTTTTTATGCAAGAAATAAGTCATCAAGAACATGTAAATTCTAATTTTCGTCAAAAAACGAGATCAATCCTAAAATAATGACGTGATACATTTAATATTAGAAAATTTCATATTAAACTAGCTAGCAATCATTACAGACATGATATTTTTGCACAAAAAATCTCGCTTGGTGTTGATGTATGTAAATTTCAGGATTTTGTTTTTAATTTTAAGTCTTTGACTTTTGATACTTATTCACTCATATAATTATTCATTATTACAATATCAAATCAGATTTGAATCTGTTTTTTAGATAAAATCATGATATTGAGCCTTCTAGCCATGTGATATGCTTGGAATAATACATTGCAGTGATCCCACGTTATCATTTAGAGATGCTTACAGATTTGTTTACGTTTTTGAATAGATTTATCTGCTCCAAAACAAAATTATAAAATTTTGAGTGCTATTTCAGTTTGTTATAGCACTGTATTATTTAAATCAGTCAAAGAAGCTATGCAAGAGCTTGGAATACAGGGTAGAGAAGTAAATAATCTTGCTGTTTTAATATGGACTGATTCAATTAACGATGTAGATTGGTATACTTTCTTAAACCTTTGGCAAACAATCAATAGAATACCATTTTCGAATGTTTTATGTAGAAAATCATCTCTTACTAGATGCATACAGCAAATATCTACACATTTTCCAAATCTTTATTCATTTTATCCAAAATCATTCATTTTACCATATAAACAATCAGCATTTTTACGTGCAAAACAGAGTAAGAATTGTACGTGGATCATTAAACCAGATGGCGGATCCTTAGGAAACGGAATTACAATTCTCAAGCCAGGATGCGATTATCCACCAGATAACAACCTTGCAGTAGCTCAACAGTACCTTGAATCATTCATCCTAGATAAAAAGAAGTTCGATCTAAGGGTTTACGCTTTGGTTGCTAGTATTGATCCATTAGAAATCTATGTATACCGAAATGGGTTATCAAGATTTTGCTCAGATGAGACAGATCAATCTTCGGTTTACTCACAAATCACAAATGTTACGCTGAATAAACAAAACCCAGAATTTGATGGGTTTCAAGACATATCTAGGTTAATTTCAGATACGTTTGAGCGCTTAAAGAACGAATTTAATGCAGATATTAATAAATTATGGGAAGAAATCGATAATGTTGTTACATTAACCATAATTTCTGGACTTAAGTACATGAAGACTGGCGTGAAAAGCTATCTTAAGCCTTCTATTGTATCAAGATGCTTTCAGATCTTTGGTTTTGATATACTTCTTGATACAAATCTTCATCCTCATGTTATCGAAGTAAATTATCGGCCAAATCTAGAATATCATAGAGGACCAGAGCGTAGAATGAAGGTTGGAATGATAAAAGATGCAATAGCTATCGCCGCTCCTTTTGAATCTCTTCAATCTGCTCTAGATTACAGAAAACTGGGTTGGAGTAACGAAACATGGAGAACATATCTCATGAACAACCCAGAACTCAAAGAATTAATCAAAAGTTCAAAAGAAAAAGCAATTCAATTGTCAAATTTTGTCAAAGTATATCCAACAACCGGAGAACTCAATAAGACTTACCAGGATGTAATCAAAGTTGTCGAAAATATGAAGCTTGAATCAATTCCAGGTTCATTCTTGATTCCTGAGAGAGATATGTAAAATTTAAGGTCATGAACCACTTTATAAACATCTAAATAGAATAGAAAGCTTTAGATGACGATCAAAAATAATTCCAAAAATATTTTTGTTCAAACATCAGTAGAAGACTTGTTTTATCTCAGTCATGCAAACACAGACACAAAATATTACCGAAACACATACGAATCTTGATCATATTTCTCCAATTTTTTATTTTTCTTATTTGATCAAGATCATTTAGATAATAGTTGCATTTTATCATGTATTATACAATTTTTGTTTTGTTTATAAAAATAGAGAATATTAAAACAAAATTTTATTTTTTAGTTGAAATTTCGTAAGTTTCTATGCCAATTATAAACAAATTTTATTTTAGTATTCGATATCTGGTTGCTGGTATGGAAGGAGGTTGAATTTAGCCTTTGTCTGGATACGTTCTGCAGAATTCTTATCTTCTGGTGAGAAACGAGCTGGATGAGCGGAACGTGTTTGTCCGCCGCAGCGTGGGCACTTCTGTTTGAGAGTGTATTGCTTGCACTGATCGCAGAGCTGAAGATACATTCGAGATTTTAAATTGAAAGACTCTGTTTGATTTGGTGGAGCCAAAAAAGAATTTCTGTCCATTTTGCTTAAATATAAATAGGAAAATAACCAAGGAATAACATTTCATTATCAAAATGACAATATATCAATTGAATCCCAAATATTTTATCAAAATCTCTTTAAATTTTGGACAACCAATTACTACACACAATCATTTATAAGAATATTTGGTTTTTACAAGAAAACAGATTTTTGTATGAAATAAAAAAGTGACATCCATAAATGAGATCAACGGAAAGGAAAGAAGTATTATCAGAGAAAGATAAGAAACTAACATCAACACAGATTGCGGCCGTAGAAAATGCTATTGATGAAACACTGGATATTTTTACCTTAACAGTTCAAAATTCAACAAGCTCTTTTCCTTCTTTCGCTAAATACGTAATATTCCTTGCATTGATTGGAATTCTCGCTTTGGCCATTTGCATGAAATAATGTTTTTTATATATCTTTAACGTTTTATTAAATGTTTATGTTTATTTATTTTTTCAAATTTAACCATCTTTTCTTCATACTCTTAATTCTATTACCAAGAATCAAAACAATCTTTACTTACTTGATCAAATTAGAGAAAAATTAAATTTGATAATCAAAATTTCTTTGTTAGGATTAGTTATCAAAATAGTAAGTTGTAATTTTTTTTATTAAAATATTTTATTCAATAAAAAAAGATCGTAAAACGTTAAAAAACCCTATTCTTGGTTCTTAGTTGCCTTCTGGGAACAAGCCGTCATCCTGAGACTGGATTCCTGGAGCTGGGGCACCGCCCTGAGCACGTCTCTGATCATTCTTGAGTGAAGGTGGGAGACCCTGAGATACCTGCATCTGTTCAGCGAAGTGCTTGTAACGAGAGATATCTGCCTGAGAAACGGAAGCACGAGCACCGACTAAAGCGCGCTCGAAGTCTTCACGCTTGATTGTGTAGAGATCTGGGTCTTCCTCTGGAACGGCCTCACCCTTCTCGATGGCGGCCATTCTTGCCTCTTCCATTCTCTGGTGTGGAGCGAGAGCTCTCTTGAGAGCGATCTTCTTAGCTCTTGTGCAGATTTCACCGATATCAGCGCCGGAGTAGCCCTCTGTAGCCTGAGCGAGTGAGTCGAAGTTGACGTCGGCGTTGACTGAGTTCTTTCTCATCTGTGCTCTGAAGATAGAAGCACGAGCTGGGAGATCTGGAAGTGGAATGTAGATGAGCTGATCCAAACGACCTGGTCTCATGATAGCTGGATCGATGATATCTGGTCTGTTTGTAGCACCGATCGTGAAGACAGACTTCTTAGCCTCAAGACCATCGAGCTCTGTAAGTAACTGGTTGATGACACGATCTGTAACACCGGAGTCGCCTGGTGTTGAGCCACGAGCCTTAACCAATGAATCGAGTTCATCGAAGAACAAGACGCATGGTGCAGCCTGGCGAGCCTTGTCGAAGACATTACGGACGTTGGATTCTGACTCACCGACCCACATGGAGAGGAGCTCTGGGCCCTTGATGGAGATGAAGTTAGCTGAGCACTCTGAAGCGACAGCCTTGGCGAGGAGTGTCTTACCGCAACCTGGCGGGCCGTAGAAGAGGACACCGCGGGATGGATCCATCTTGAAGCGAGCGAAGAGATCTGGGAACTGAAGTGGGTACTGGACTGTCTCGCGCAATTCCTGCTTGACATCCTCGAGACCACCGATATCTGCCCACTTGATGTTTGGAACTTCGACGACTGTTTCGCGGAGTGTTGATGGGTTGGCGTTCTTGAGAGCGGATCTGAAGTCATCCATTGTGACCTTCATCTCGTTGAGGATGTTGACATCGAGTTCATCGTCTTCGATATCGATCTGATCGAGACGAGCACGGATGCACAACATAGCTGCTTCTGTGCAGAGTGATGCAAGATCTGCGCCGACGAAACCGTGTGTCTCGTGAGCGATGACTTCGAGATCGACATCGTCAGAGAGTTTCATCCTCTTTGTGTGGATGCCAAGGACTTCGAGACGGCCGGCCTCATCTGGGACACCGATATCGATTTCACGATCGAAACGGCCGAAACGACGAAGAGCTGGATCGATGGCGTTTGGTCTGTTTGTAGCAGCCATGACAATGACGTTGGAACGAGACTTGACACCATCCATGAGTGTAAGGAGCTGAGAAACAACACGTGTAGAGGCTTCACCCTGTGCTTTGTCTCTGTTTGGAGCGACAGAGTCGATTTCATCGATGAAGATGATGGATGGGGATGTTTCCTGAGCCTTCTCGAAGATGGATCTGAGGTTGCCTTCGGATTCACCGGACATCTTGGACATGATTTCTGGACCGTTGATGAGGTAGAAAGCGGCACCTGTTTCGTTAGCAATGGCACGAGCAATGAGTGACTTACCGCAACCTGGTGGACCGTATAAGAGAATACCACGTGGTGGCTTGATACCAAGGTTGGAGAACAACTGTGGATGGCGGAGTGGAAGCTCAACAAGCTCACGGATAAGGCCAAGTTGCTTACGGCAGCCACCGATATCATCGTAGCCAACATCGTTCTTTGGATCATCATCTTCACGTGGGATTGGATCACCATCTGTGAAAATGTTTGTTTGGGCTATAACAATACCGTATTCCTTTGGCTCGGCTCCCATGACCTTGAACTCGAAGGTACGGCCTAAAGCATCGACTGTGAAGGAGTCTCCCTTGCGGACTGGGCGGGAAAGAGCCTTGAAGTATGGAAGAAGAACTGTTTCGAAAAGATCACCCTTGAGACCTTCAATTGTATCAGCGTATGGAAGGATTGAGACTTTCTCGAGGTATGGGGCATCGCCGCAGGATTTAACGGAAACAACATCGCCTGGGCGGACACCGAGATTCTTACGAACGACTTTGTTCATCTGGACTTTGCCTACGTCGCATGTATCAGCGGAGCAGACAAGTACGAGTGTAGCTTTCCTTCTCTTGCCGTGAACGATGGCTGTTTCACCGTTGAAAAGTTCGAGCTCTTCCATCTTATCTGGATTAAGCATGATGATAGAGTTATCACTGATCTGAATATCATCCACAATAAGGCGGTATGGTGCCTTCTTGTGCTGATTTATTACACTTGGATCTGGACCTGCAATATCAGACATTGAAGAAAAATGACAAAATTGAGATTGAAAGGAAAAATCTTTTTTTGACCAATTAACGAAACATATAATTTTTTCATTGAATTTAGATATGTCTTTGGATACAATATCTGAAAACCATCAGAAGTGAACTTAGTATAAAATTTTTTCAAAAAATTTTATTGGAAAAAATATATCACCTGATAATTATTTTTAGAAGTGTAATTAATTTATCAAATAAAATTCAGGCTTTTTTTCTGATGATGTCATTTTTTTTGGAGTAAAAAATGGCCGGTTATGTTTCCAAACAACCAAAAATTTTTCATCAATTTGTTTGCCTCTTTCAACTCCATGGCAGGCCAATTATACACTCAATGACCTTATTAGAGGTAAGTAATGACAAATGCTAGATAAATTTGTAGTAATACACCTAGAAATTTATCCGAAATGAAGATTTTTATCTGAGAAAAAGAGTTAGTCAAATTTAATATGACAGCTTTTGAGTATTTATATAGGTGATACACTTTTAAATGTTTACAAGCACGATCGCCTTATTTTCATGAATTACAATATCTTACTTTACATTATACCTCACGTAACGTAAGAGGACATGCACTTCTATGAAAAACACGCATTAATTATATGTTTCTTCTATAATTTTTTCGTGAATTTTAATGTAATATTCATTATAATAAAAAATTATTGAATTTCAAAACCGGGATATTGTTTTAATGAACTGCTTATTTCTATTTTGGATAAAAATGAGATAATTATTCATTTTTATAGTTGTATAAAATAAATTTGCGATCTTCTTTTGAATTAGCATATTTTTTCTATAAAAAACTAATAAACCAATAGCAAAAATTAGATTGCAAATACTCATAATATGATTATTCACTCATAAATTGTAAATCTCAACCAAATAACATCATAAAAGCATTAAAAATAGATACCTATTAAGGGATAGATATCTATTAAGGGATAGATTGATATACAATACATTTATAATTCTATTTTGAGAGAAGGATTAAATTACTTGAAATTCCATAATACCAAAAAAGGATTCAATTATTCAGTTCCTGTCCTAATGCACTAAATTATCATATTTGTAGGATCTTTTTTAGATCATTTTCTAAAAGTGAAACATAAAATTTCTTTTTCATGTATTATACACATTTCCAATATTTTCATTTACACATTTAATTTGAAAACTTCTGAAAATTGAAACAGATATTTGAAAAGTCTGCAAGGTTCAGTTTAAAATTCAATGGTTGTGGAATGATTTAAAAAACTGATCCTCCAAATATGATAATTTAGTATATTTGGACAGGAACTGCAGAATTGAATATTTGCATCATGACGAAGTTTCAAGTAATTTGATCTTTTTGAAAGAATACTCAATTGAATAAAAACTCAAAATACGAATGCTTCCTATATACTTTTGTATTGCTTCTTGCTTTTCATATATCACTCTAGGAGAGGAGCAATGCGATTTCAAGTGTTGGATTCGGAAACTCAATATTTCTATTGATGGATTTAGTACAGAAACATCATTTTTAGGTATTAAGTACAAGATAGAAATCAATGACATTAAAGTTTATGGTATGGATTTAAGTTATCTTGATAGTGAATTCTACCCAGATTCTCATATTGTTCAAAATGGTCTCGAGTTCGAGTTTGATTTGCAAGCTTCTTCGGATTTTACATTAGTAATTAGTACAGGAAGTACAAAGCTTGTTAATGCTGCAGTTCATGCAGCTATTACCGGTGTTGATGCTCAAATTAGTTTAGATTTTACCAAGGATGAGTTGGGATTAATTAAAGCTGTTATTTCTCCTGAAGATAGATGCTCCATAAAGTTGAACTCAATTAAACTTGAAGCGCATTTTTCATCATCATTAGAACAAAAATTTTTTGATTTATTAGAAGGTTTTATTGAGGATCAATTAAAACAGAGAATAGGCCCAATAATATGTACACAAACACATGATATAATAGGGTCTGAAATTACTCAAGCATTTGAATCCGCAAACAAAGTTATTCGGCCATACTTAAATGGAACGCATCCTATCGTAATTCCTATTGATCAAGATAGTTCTGGTCTTAGAAAATCAGAAATTGTTGACGTTATCAGATTTGTTCTTTCAAATTTCACTGGATTGAACGGCCCTCTAAATCTTAATGCCCTTGCAAATAGATTTACTAATGGAACAGGAAAATTAAACCTTGCACAAATCATGAAATATTTCAACTCCACAAAACCATTAGAGATTTCTGCACCGATTCCAAACCTCAATACAACTCTTAACCTTACTTTGCTTGACCTCAACCTCTCAGGCTTAAATACCTGGCAAGATTTTACCATTCTTGAGCCAGAAAGTGCATATATCTTAGATACCCATACTGGAATGGATGCTTTAGGTATAAACTTGACATTTATGATTAATGTTTCATTCAATGGCACCACGATCTCAACAGGTGATTCTTATCTCTCAGAAATTGGAGATCTTGACCTTTATATCACTAAGAACAAGATGATGACGAAAGCCCAGATTGCTCATAAAAAAGGGTATGGCCTAAATTGGACCGATCCTCAATGCATCAATCTTGGTTGTATAGAATCCCTTCTCTCTCCACATGGAACAGGACTAACTTACCTCTCCTTCAACACATCTATAGAAAACTTGTCTATTGAAGCTAGCACTGGTGATATGGAGGCAGAAATTCGCAAATTTATCAACAACATTGTAAAGTTCTTTGTAGACAACTACAGGCCAATTCTTCCAGTATTTGTCACATCCTTTGTCAACAGCTTTGGTACATCGAAGCTGAATGCAATTATAACAGAGCAACTCTCAAAAGCAGGATGTAAGTATATTGCTGAATACCCAAATAAATATTTTGTTTTATGGACCACTGCTACAGCTGCATCATGTGCTTTGGCTATCTTTCTCATCATTTTCATGATTATGAGGTCAAGTCTTAAGAAGACGAATGAACTCGAATCCAAGACTAAATCGCTTGAGTCTTTGAATTCACTATCCAAGATCACTGAAGAAGGTTCTATCAAAGGCTTTTGGGGTAAGTTCCTCAGAACTGACGACCAAAGCTCCCTTCTAATGACAAGCAAGCTTTCATTAACAACAAGGATATTGATGCCTCTGCTGGTTCTTCTCAACATAGCTGTATTCATATCATCGAATACAAGTATTGGCGCTTCTGTTTTCTGTAAATTTATGATTGGCACAGACAAACTTGTATCGCTCCCATCAATTGAAGATTTCTCGCTCATCAACTCGATCACGGAGATGTGGGAAGCGAAGACGTACTTCTTATCTATCCTTATTGCAGTCATGTCATGTGCTTGGCCTTATACAAAACTGTTAATGATGCTTGGGTGCTGGTGCCTCCCTTCTCCTGTTATGAAACCAGAGAGAAGAGAGAAATGGCTAAGGTTTTTGGATGCATTAGGTAAATGGAGTATGGTTGACTCTTTTGTAATGGTACTTATGCTTATTGCATTCAATTTCGATCTATACTTCCCTATTATATCAGGGATGATCGATTCTCCTTTTTCCATCCATCTTTGGGTCTATCCAGCATACGGATTCCTCATGCTGATGCTAGGAACAGTAATCTCTCTTGCCCTCTCCCATGTCATGCTGGCCATTGAAAGGAAAGTTGACTCTCCTGAAGAAAAGATTGAAACAGAAAGCTTGAAAGAAAAGAACTCTCTCGCTAAGTACGTAAACAACAAGTTCTACAAAGTGATACCAGTCATTCTTATTTTACTCAGCGGAGGATTGCTTGGTATTGGCTTGATTTCTATCTCCTTCTCATTTAATTTTGAAGGATTGACGGGATATGCACTTAATTTACTTGATACATCTCATGAAAAGCGTTACTCTGTGATTGATCTAGCTTTGAAGCTTCCTGATGCAGCACAATATCCTAACTCGTTCACAATTAGATTTACTCAGGTGCTCTACATTGTTATCGCTATTATAATGCCTTGCATGCATGTTTTAACATTATTTATTATGTGGGTCATCCCAATGTCGTATAGAGCACAGAAGACGATATACGTCGCAGCCGAAATTATGTACGCTTGGGCTTGCCTAGATGTTTTTATTATTTCTATCTTAGCTGCCGTTTTGGAAATTTCTCAATTTGCAAGGTTTATGGTTGGAGATAAATGCGATATAATTGATCCGATTGTAAAGAAGTTCTTTGCAAATGAACCGTTAATCAAGGGTCATGAAACATGCTTTGATGTAGTCACAACATTGAATGAAGGATCTTGGTATCTTTTCTCTGCAGCTGTTGCACATACAATCGCAACATTGTTGGTGAATTTCTTCGCGAGAAAAGCTCTCAATGAAAGAAAAGGAAAAGATCAATATCAATCTATTGTTTAAATTTGAATATAAAGATTAATTCTATTAATTAATATTGATTGTGAACTATTCATGAAAACATTCATCCAAATGACACAAGTACAACTTAAGTAAGCTATTTTTGATTGAAATGGTTTATTTCAAATATATTTTTCAGCTTGAAATTCAAAATATGACTTCATAAAATTGAATTTGAATTAAAAAGATTAATTTATTACGATGCTTCCCTGCAAAAATTATTATTTCTTTAATGAAATGATCCAAGTCAAATTAAGGGTGCACCCGTATGTACGTTTATTTGAGAGGAGGATTACCCTCTCAATTTTGAGGGATTCGTTAGTTTATTTTCTCGATGAATATGCAATAAAATTTGATTTTTACCTTATCAATATACTTCATATAATATACACATGTTCATGTAAAAACTTTTTTCCAAAATCCTCAGGAATTAAGGGATTTTTGAATTTTAAGAATTTTTTTCGAATTTTTTCGAAAAAAAAATATTTTCAGAACAGCCTTAACGGCTAAGATTTAGGAACAATGTTAAGTATCAAAAAGAAAGGAGGTCTGATATAGACAACATATATCGTTGAAGGTTGAAAAAATCTCTAATATTTGAGCCCAAAATTTCAAATTTTAATTTTTTGAAAAAAGAGGCCACCCGTATGTACGTTTATTTGCGAGGAGGAGGATTATATTTTTGAAAGGGTGAAACATTATGAATATGTTAATTATATAATAATATGTATTATTATAAAAAAGAAAAAATAAAGCACGTTAAAATTTTTCTTTCTTGATTTTTTACAAAATCTACTTAGAATTATGCAAAATATGACTAAATAATTATAAATTTCAAGTTAAATTTTAATTTTGATAAATAATTTAAATTTCAAAATATCAAGTTCAGTTCGACTATGTATGTAGTAATTCCTCAATAAAGTGCCAGAACCCTATTAAAATATATGAACATTTTCAACATTTTAATGTTTTTTTTAAAAATTTGATGGAATATGAGCTTCAAACAATTATTATGTAAATAAAAATAATTAAATATATGTATTTATTCGTATTACAACCGTAGTAAGTCGATTCTTCCTTTCTTCTACTGAGTTTTGAATTTGATTTCGAATTGTAAAGAGATTCAAAGGGAAAATACAAGCGGATAAAAACTACCTCCATGAAAGGGTCATAATGGAGTCAAGTTGTATTTTTTGATATTTTTTGCTTTTCGAGCCTAAATAGGTAGCCAAGATAATGCCTAAAAATAAGGTTCTAAATTCTGAAGTTTACATGATCCTCTCGTGTGCACCCTTAATGTCAACTCAGAACAAAGGAAGCTTTTAAAGATGATTAAATTAGCGGAATTAAATCAAAGTGTAGAAATTTTGTTCAAAACAGGTATACCTAGATTAAAAGAAATAAAAAGAAAATACACAGAGTTTTTTGAAGCGGATTCCGAGGAATTATTTGAATTTGTCACCAAATATTTTGATGTAGAATTTCCAACATCGAGCGCTGATGGAAAGAAAAAGCTCTATAAAATGGAAAAGGCCGACCTAGATGAATTTGCTAATACAGTGAGGGAATTTAGCCAAAAAATAGATGAATTTTTTAATATATTAGACAGGTTACCTAGAAAATAGTCTAGAAAGCTCATGTATTAAATTTTTGTTATCTTTTTCACTTATATTATCATATATTTCTTAAATGTTTATGTAATTTCCTTTAAAAATCTTCAGATCTGTAATATATTAGACAAATAAAGTAAAATAGTACTTTAAAGCCATAATAATCATTCTTAGAGATTTCATCATATATCTAAAGTTCAACTTTGATAAAATGTGCTCATTATTTAATAATTTAAAGATATATAACTCTTATATAATAAAAATGTCCAATTAGTATTATTGGGAGGTAGTTAATGGTCTCTGAAACTTCATACATTGAGATTTTTTCACTAAAAGATTGAATTATAAAAGTGACATTATAATATATTTAATATGACCGACAGTTCTCAACTTTCGAGCAGTAAAAGACAAATTCTTAAAGAAACATCATCAGAAGTTACTAACACTATATTCAACTCAATGATTTTCGAATCAATTTTAGATTTTTATAGACAAACGTCAGGTTTTCCTGATGCTAGACCAATTCAGGAACTCACATCAATTGCACCATTAACACCTGAACCAACATTTATTATTCATAATCAGCCTAGTTCAGATATTGAATATTGTAACTGTTTATACTGCAATGAACAGATTCCTCAGTCAAAATATTTATCACACTTACGTACACATAATGATCAAAAAGTATTATTTGACGCAATTAGTAATCTTTTTGATTGATTTTTTAAAATTAGATTAGTTAATTCAACTAACTTAATTTAGTGGAGGTGTACTCCATGTGTAGATAATACAGTAGCTGTTTGTGCTTTAGGAATTAAAATATTCTTCCTAGAACTCAAATATTTGTTTTATTTATTATTTATCTTAGTTACATAGATACCCTTTCATACGACTGCGACACATTGTAATTTAATACGATAATGACTCATTTATTTGTTGGTATTCTACTTATATTTGTAATAATTTCTAAACGAAGTTCAAATTCATGTAATTAATAAAAATAGTGTTTGCAAATTACTTGTACAATCTATTTTTATATATATTGATAAAACTTACAAAAAAATTTTATTCAAGTTGAGTTGCTTCATTTATAAACATCTCAGCTGCCGAGCTATATGTTTGATTTTCATCATCAACATGTGTTTCAGCTAAAGGAATTAAATCTTGAATTAATTCAAAAAGTGAATCTGAAGGAGCTTCTCCATAAGCTGAAAGGACAGATTTGAAACATACATATGCTATAGGAGCAGATTCGCAGTATTTGATAATATCTTCATAAATTTCTTCATTGAACCAAAGTTCAAAGTGGAAATAAGCAATAAAACATCTAAAAGTACTTTTAGTACAGTTAAATCCGAGTTTTCCATAAAATCTTTTCATTTCATTACAAATAATTTCATCATATTGACCTTTCCAAACAGGAACCATGTGATAAAGAAATCTTGCTACTAATATAATAAATGAAGAATATTCCTGATCTGCATTTGCCTTGTTTGGATCAATTTCTTGGAGCATCCGAATAATTAGCTGGAAAAAATCATTTGGAAGAATAATCTTTGAGGTTTCTACATCAATAAGGAATTTCAAAGCTGCTGACATGATAAATCTTGTTCGAGAACTTATCAAATGATTGAAATTTTGCAAGAAAAATAGAAGTACTCTTTCTTGAATTTCTGTGGATTCAATTTCAGTGTAAAGATAACTAAGAAGTGACATCAATTGATTGAGAGCTAGCTCATCATCTGATTTAACGAAATAATCAAGCAATGGTAAAATTTCATTGACATGTTCTTGAAAATTCGAAACAATTAGGATGATAGTATAAACAGAACTTTCTGTTGGTGGTATTGTGAGAATCTTTTCTAATAAACCATCTGCAAAATATTGATATAAATTAAAATTATAAAAAATCATATCAGATATTATTGAAATACAGTAAATACCTGCTTGCTGGGAGTCTGAATGAAAAATGTTATTGATAAAATTCGCAAATTCTTCATTAAAAATCGAATTTCTATTGCTGCTCGAATATTGACAAAGAAATGAAAGGATTTTAAGACCAAGCAGTAATATATCTTGATTTTGGAACTCTGATATCTTCTCTACGAATCTTTGAAAATTAAATCCTCGATGGAGCTGCAATATTTGCTGTTTTTGTAATCTGGTCAAGTTTTCGTCTAGTAATGTGAGGAATTCAATTGGGTCTTTTTCATTATTAAAGAAAAGTTCTAAATTATCCAAAATATCGACAACTAATGCTGAAGATTTTTTGCGGATTATTGGTTTTTGAATCTTACCGTCTATCCCAATTTCTTCTTTTCTATCCTTTTCAATCTGCATGTTAGATCAGAAATATAAAAATAACAACACTCAAAAAATTGATTAGCAACCAAACCAAAGATCACTAAATAGGAGCAATGATTTTAGAATGCAATAGGAAATCAATGAAATTCCTTTGAATTTTATTTGATTTTCATGTTTAATATATATTTTCAAACTTACTCTAGTTTATTTAAATTATTCATGATGGGGTATCTCCTAGCTATTCCCTATTGAATCTAGATTACTAAAATTTAAATAATTATTTTCATTTTTGATGATAATAAAACATTTTTAAGCTTTACGACGAGAGGAGTGGATATACAAAACACAGTGAAGATAGTTAGGATCTTCAATATCTTTACGTATGGTATTATCTCCTGGAACTTGCTCATTTGGATCTAAGTTAATATCTTTCTGATCACGCTTGTTAGTAACAATAATACCACGATCATTATTTCCCTTAACATCGAATGTTGTAGATTCGTTATGTGTAATTGTTCTTGTTTTCCAATTGAAGTAGCTCATATCAGTGATTTTTGGTTTCAGCAGCTTCTTGCATGAAAAGTACGGAACCCAGTCTTCATTTCTAAGGCGATCACCGAAATCAATATAAGCACTAATTTCTTGTCCTTTATTATTTTCACTACGAAGGAAAATCAAGCATGTTTTCTGACCATTCCTAACTTCATCTTCAATTTTAGCAAGCTCTTGCATCAAAGGCGAAGCAGAGCTATCACAATTAATATGGGCAAGTGGAACTTGTGCACTTCTTTTTGTAGTTTTCTGTTCGAGTAGTTCTTGTTTCTTTTGCTCAAATTTAGAGCGTTCCATAATATCTAAACCACCAACGCAACCTAATTCGAAAAGGCTTCTTGCGACATCACGATTTCCTAAATAGTACAAGTGCTCCTGGGTAATTTTGGAATCGAGATAGTCCTCATAGGTTTCGAACCTTCCGACAATGTCTAAATCCATTCTTAGATGCTAACGTATTTTATCGTTCGAAAATAATTCATCAAAAATTATGGTTTCATTTCATTCACATTTAAATGTGTTCTCCTTATCCCATTAAATTTAACAATTTTTACAAAGAAATATTATCAAATACTCGATAAAGATTTTATTATAATCAAAGAAACAATGAATAATGAGGATCAGTTGTAATCCAAGAGAAGGCAATGATAATAAGCAGGCAATTTTTAAAAATTGAAAAATAATTTTTTTAAATTTTTCGTATTTTTATCAAAAAAGAAAATGTTTACAATTTGATTTTTTTTTGAATTGATATTAGTCAGCTTTATGTTTATTTCTAACATCTTGCAATCTTTGTCCAGATGCAATTTCGTACTCTTCTAGTAATTGGTTCTTCTTGCAGTTGCAGAAGCATAAGAGAATTGCTTGAGCAACAAAAAGCGTAGCAATGATATAAATAATTGTTGAGAATTTTCCAAAAATGCCTGGTTTCTTAACAGGCATAGGACGGATAGCATTAAATTGAAGAACTTCAGATCTTCCAAGTCCTGATACGAAAATGGAGATTGATTGATTTGTAATCTGCATAGTATATGTATAATTATTTAAAATCTTACCTTTGCATATCATCAAACGGTCTTGTGTCATTTTGAAATCAAATGTAGCAACTGTTCTGGATGGTGTAATGAAATCGATTAAAGTACCGCCCATTAAATTGTTATATGCAACAACAAATTGAGCTAACTGTCCATAATCCATATCATGAAATTCTTTTGATTCAGTTTCTGCGGAATTTTCCCAAAATGATCCAACAATTTGGTTAGAAGATGGTTCATTATGGAATTCGATGGTATAATTTGGTTCTTCGGTGAAGTTAACACCTTCCTGATATATGTTCCATTCTCCTACAATTAATTGGTTGAGAGCTAATGTTGAGTCATCAAGACTTTTGATAAAAGCAAATAAAAACGGGAACATTTATTTTTGTTGAGAATTCAAATTTTTGCTTACGCTCTATTTGTATTAAATCAAATGACATTTCTACCCTCATTATGAAACATTTACTTTAAGAGCGATAATCTATAGTTGGCTTCGTGTTTAATTTGATTAAAATGTTGATGTTCATTTGATTATTCTTAGATTTGACAATTCATCATAATAAATTACAATCAAATACATTAAAACAGGCAAAGAGTTAATCCTTATTATCTTTTATATCAAAGTTGATGTACTCTCTGTTCTTTATTTTATAAATTTGATAAAATAAGGAATTAGAACTTGCTTATTCCTTCTACATTAAAATTTTCAAGAAAATATGAGAGTAATATAAAACGTTATCTTATAATTATCAAGTTTTAAATTTTTAAATCATTCAGAAGTTTGCAGTCTTTACATCAAATATTCATTTTGCACTAAAATATTGCAGAGGAATAAATCACTATGTATATGGGACTATTTAACTGATTAATCAAAATCTTTATCGAGAAGATATTTTAAACAAAAATTAAAAGTTGTGGAAAATTGGAAAAATAAAGTAACATGAAAAAATTTGGGGCGTGACTACTTCTAGAAATATTAGATTTCTACTTCTTATTATTCATATTCTTATTTTTCAAATAATCTGAATATTCTTGACTCTTAAGGATGGGCACTCATAGGCTCCTGACAGCATAAAAATGTTATTATCTCACAATATAAAAGGAATTATAGGAATCTACAACTATATCTATATTGTTGGAAGACTTCTTAATGTATCATCCATATAAGTTATATCAATAACTCCATTATGTTATATGATTGTAATCATATTTTCGTTTCATGTTCAAAAACATTAAAATCATACTAACTATATGAGTATTATATTTAGGAAGCTGATATATAGATATGATAAAATGCTAGGTTTTGTGATTAAGAATATATACTTATCTTTTAGAAAATAATACTTTTATAAAAAATTATATCTTATATAATCTAAAAATTTTGGACAATTAAAAAACATTAATTAAAAATAGAAGGTGAAAGTGTTTATTCAAAGAAGGTGCAAGATTATGATGTTTTGAGGGTGAAATAAATTTAATAATTATTTATGTGATTTAAGAGTAATACGATCATCGGTAGCTTGAAGACCTCTCTTTATAGCTCTTAATGCCGCAAACTTTTTTTGAACTTGCTTTGAATTTTTGAATGCTTTGATTAAATCTTTTGTTGTATCATACATTCTGAAATATCTGTTCATCATTTCTGGCATTGTTGGTAAATTTAACCTGTATCTTATTGCTACAATCGTTTCAAACATACTTTCATTGAAATGCAATATTGTGACTGCCATCCTAATTGGCCAAGAAGCATGCCAATTAATATTTTTATTAGCAAGCATTGCTTTGATATGGTTTATCGATTCAACTACTTGAGTTGAATGAATCTTTTTTACCATATCAAAGATTTTTACGGTATCTTCGAGGAATTTTTAAGTGTTTTTATAGCAGTTTTATTTTTTGCATATTTCCATGGTTTAATCATCTTGCATTTTTCAGGATCTGGACAAAATTTATGATTTCCGGCATAATGTTTAGCGGAATTCAACCATAAAAACTTCTTTGTTTTAATTGACATATGTGTGTCATTGAGAAGTTGCCTAAGCCAACGCAATAAATTCTTTGAAATGCTAGATAAGATTCTGAATTCTGGCAGTTTGAGCTTTTTCTGTATATTGTTAAGAAAATGTCCAGGATCTCTGTATTCTCTGATACCTTTGAACGTATTTTTGATTGTAGAAACAATTTTGACATCGCCATCATGCACAAAAAAATTTACACGTTTTTCATTATTCCAACGCTTCAGCATTCTTTTTAAGCCTTCAAATTCCATTTCATTTGATTTTCCGTTGAAATTACCTTTGAAATTTTTAAAAGATTTAGATATCACTTCCCAATCTACAATTTTTTTGAGTTTCTCTTCTACAAATTGTACATAGCAAAACATTGCATTTCTTCTCTGACTCCAAGAACCGTCAAACAAAAGTCCCGAACATTTTCTCATTCGAGATTTCCAATAATTAACAGATTCTCTGGCAACTTCTATGATAACACGACCAACCTTTTCTTGGACTCGATGAAATGTAGCTTCTGACGGAACTTTGATGTTATTCAGCATGAATTGAAATTCTGATTGGCAAAATGTAGCGCCGCTCAATAATACAGATAGCACAAATTCAACAGTGTTGACGACATATGGCTCTACCCTATTTTTCGCGCTTTGAACTAAGTTCTTTATACGCTTTGCAACTGCTTTTGTTCGCCGCGGCATGAAAAATGAAGAATAACTTGACGGTTTCTTGAACAAATGGTCGCACATTCAAATATTGTGATGTACGATCAGGATAAAAGAATGTTGTTGCCGTGAATTTAGAAAATAGCAAAATTTCAATTTACGCAATCGAGATATAACTTGATTGTTTGAGCGATAACCATGGCACCCATAGTATTAATGAAAGTACTTATACTTACAATTATTTTCTCCCATAGGAATATTGTTCAATATACTTCACCTATAGAGGAAATCTCGAAATAAAATCGAATTTTTTCAAAAATTACAAAAATCAATTTTTTACAAAGATGTTCGAAAAATAACATTATATACGCATCAAATCAAAGCATTATATGGAGCATTATAATTCTATATATGATTGTCCATCTTGCTGTTGTGCTATTTTTTTAAACAATAATTTCATTGTTGAAATTAAATTTGCAATTTCAGTAAAAATTGCGACCCATCATTTTGAATATAATTGAATTAATACATTTATTGTAAGAATATTATATACCAAATATTAGACTTCCACATGAATCCTGGTATGATATTATAAGTATTGCAAAATTAGAAAAAAATATGCTCATGATATACTAAAATTCATGTTTCAAGGTTAACTTATAAATAAAATAAGTTCGAGAAATGCATCACTAAATATTTGATCTTGTGCACTATAATGCTATATAATAGTCTTCACTGTTTTTAATATATTGACTTTGCTAGACTTGATTTTTTTCATCACCCTAATGAGTGCCCATCCTTAATTGAATATTCTTTCACTTTTTTTTCTAAATTAGAAATTTCTCCTTCTATTTCTTGCTTAATTAGTTGGAGCGCTGTATTCGCTTGTTGATATCTTCGAAATTTGACCCCCAACGTAACAGGGTATAAAGGGTCGGCAAATTTTTGCTCTTTAGTTTTTTTAGTCTCCATGCCATTCGTTGGAATACCCAGAATGTGAGAACTTCTCGGATTTGTTTGATCTTCTTAAAAGAACAATCCATTTGTACCAAAATTTCACTAATATCATTTTCAACTTGTTCAGTGGCCTCTTGGATAGAGCTTGTAAGTACTGATGATTCATCATTGATCAGATTTTCTAGAGGGATCTGATTATCGATTGAAATGTCTGGTTACTTTTTCCTCTTGAATCGGATAATTACTCCCAAAAGATATATGCTTGAAAAGGAATATTTTTTAAGTCTCTTTTTCAACCTTACCATTGGACTATCACCAAATTCTTCTTCAATGTTAATAATACATAATGCCACTATAAATTCAGCCAAATATTTCAAAGCAATTGTACCAAATGCGAAAATTAGGGCGATATAAGTCTTTTTGTTTAAATTTTTTGTTTCATCTATCTTTTCGGCTTCGTGAATAGCTTCAAGTATTTCCTTAGTGACTTTAGGCCCTAATTCTTCCTCAATATGTTGGCGGAGAGTTTCATTATTTATGAGTGAAACAATCTTCGAGAGAGTGTAATTACTTTTTATTTCATTGAATTTGTCGAAAAAGCATGCCTCTATTATATTGTTGAATGTCCAGGTATATGAAACTTTCACTCCTCCAAAAAAGCCCCCAATAATCTCTCACCACTACGTGCTCGAAATATATTGGTTAGACGAATGAATTCGAAAAGAAAAATTAAAAAAAATGGAAGTAGAAAAATACGTTTGCAACATACATTAGATTCTTCAAAAAAAAGAGAAATAGTTGGAGGGGAAGTCTTGAAAATCCTGTTTACAAAATGATTTGAACAACCTTGTTGCGTTTCTTTTGGATTTTTGATATATTCGATTAAACAAATTAATTTTGTCAATGAATATAAGAAATTGTCAGATACCAATAAAATTTTCATGTGCTCGTTAAGAGATATATTATCAAGTACATTTGTTATTTTAGAATCAAAGGCCTGCGCTTCAGATAATGTTAGAGTATGTTTTGAATGGTTGTAAAAAACTGAGTATTTAAACTGTTTTTCCGTCAAAATTTTGTAAAGCATGATAGCTTTATCTTGAATATCAGTTAATTGTATTATGATATCTTCAACTTTGCTCGGATTATAATTAATATTAATGTTTATTGTAATCAATTTGCAGAATGAACCAAGATGTGCTGGCTTTTCCCAGATTTTGGGTTTATCAACCAGAAACGGCCACCTTAGATGGATATGAAAATTTTTCCTAAATGTTAGTCACCGTTACGGTTTTTTCTTTGGGTGGCGAGCTTGCGAGCCCCCAAAAAAAGAAAAAACCGTAACGGTGAGCTCACATTTCGGCATAGTTTAAGTCTAGGTTTTGCATTTTAAAATGTTTGTTACCTTATCTTCTTTCAAAAAGTGGCAAAAATTTGTTTGAAATTTGAAAAAGATATTTATATTTGCATAAATGACATTCAACTAAGCTGTAGCATGATTCTTTTGCATGAAAGATGGCTATGAGTGGCGTTAATGAGGGCGTTTGATAATTGGAGTTGGACATAAAATTTGGAGATCTTAATTTTTGAGAATTTTGGTGCGATCTTACTGGTACAAGCAAGAGTATGGAAGGAGATTGAACTGAGAAAAAACTAGAGCATGTTGAATCATTAAATATCTGAAATTCTCGCGCATCAGCTTCGATATTATAACTCAGTTGTTAAAATCAATGCTAGCAAATATTTAGACACCAACTAAACTTGGTTCATTTCTGATGCATATTTCTTTTTTTACTTTTTTCCAATTGAAATCGAATTTTACAAAACAGTTTTTTGATGATAATTTCTACAAAAATAGAATTAACATTCATTTGCTAAGATAAACAATGTCAAATTTTTTAAAATTAACGAAATCGTTCGTATCTTTTCAGGAAGGTATGTCGGCGAAAAAAATTCGTATACCAAATCAAATAACATCATATGAAGATATTATTAATTGTACGTATTCCGATTTTTGAGCAACTTTAGAAATCGATTTCAAGATTTTGGCAATTTGATCATTTATTAAATTAGTACATATGTAATAAAATGATATTCAATTTTCCAAAATTGTATATAGTGCCAATAAATTTTACTGAAATAAATATAATGGGAATGATATAAAGTTTGTGACAAAATATTCATTTTTATACAAAGAAGCTATTCATTTTTAAACAACTATTTGAATATACCATCTGTATTATTAGATATTGATCAGATTTCAATATCTGAATAATTCAGCTTGAATTACTATTCTATAAAATCTGTTACACATGGATATATGGTGTTAGGAATCAATATTTTGATTATAAGAATAATACAAAAAAACTTTGGGATATTATTCTCATTTTGCAAAACACTTCAATTTGGAACGGAATAAATATATATTCAGCAATAATTAATTCTTTTTGCCGTTTGTAATTCTAGCAACATTCCAAAATGGAGGAGTTTTTTAAAAATAAAGAAAATTTTTATAGAAAAAAATCAAAACAAAAAAATTTATTTTCAAATTATGGCATTCCAAACGGGAACCGCGGTTGGTTACCATGGATTTCCGTCACCGGTCACATTTTAAAGATTTTTAAGCCTTATAAAAATATGCTTTGTAAATCATTTTTTGTAAATCGGCAAAAATTTGGTAATTTTCTTCAACTAATAAATCTGCGAATAGCATTTATAATACAAGAACAATCTTTTAAAACGCGTTTGATTCATTTTTGTATAATTTCATATAGGCACATATATTCTTCCGGGACTTTCCGTGATTTTACCGTAAAATCATTAGTTTACACCAATTTTCCGTATTTTGAATAGTTTACTGCACTTTTTCCGTAAAATTGAGTTACGGGAATCCGCAAAATTTCCGGACCTCATTTTTCATAGAATATAATAATAATATTTGATAAAAAGATATATTATTTATATTTTTGATTTTTGAATTACGGAAAAAGTGAATTGATAACTTGATTTTTTTATATGGTTAATTTTTCAAATGATATTATGAAGATCTAAAATATTAAAAGTAAAAAATTGAATTACGGAAAAAGTGAGGTCAAAAGTGAAATAAATTTGCAGAACAATTTTCATTGAAATAAGCTTTATTTTTCATTATTAATAACAATGCAAAAAAATATTTATCACGGGTTCAAAATTTAAAATTAAATATTTTAATAATTTACATCTTATTCTTTATTTTATATTTAACCCGTGAAAATATCATTTAAAAATTGAATATATTCAAAAAGCTTTATTTTTATTATGACTGCATGGGATCCTCATGTATATGATGAGTGGATTCCATTTAAGAAGACGAAATATCCACCAACTCCTGAAACATTGGAAACAAAGTGTGGAAAAAAATGTTTCACTACGAGCGGCTATTATGAGAATGAGCCTAATCAATCAGACAAAGGAAGGCTCTTTACATACTGTGCCGAATGTAGTGAAACATTAGTTCAAGGGCAGTTCGTGCGATGCATTAAAAAAAGCAGGAAAAATGATTTTAAAGATCATAAGTGCAAATTTTTACTCCCAATGCCCAACTACGTTCCTGCTGAGCACCAAGTTGAGAATACTCAGCAAGCAGTTGGCTCTGGTAATGATCCTTCGTTAGAAGAGATCATTGCCAGGCTTATTGCGAGCCTAGATATAAGCCTTTATGCCACAATGAAGCCAGCATTTAAAAGCTTCCTAGAGAGCTTCGCCAAATGGCTTAAAAATAAAGTCAATCGCGAACAGGGCATCAACTTTACAATCCCAGACATTGAGTTCACACGGCGCGGTGTCAGAGAGGCATTGATTACTTTAGGCAAAACAGACTCCTCTCGGGGCCTAAAGTTCTGCGAGGAATTCCGCATCTTCTCAATTTCCCTGGACTGCGGAACACACAGCAGCCGTCATAGTCTATTCTCTTGTGTGTGCAATCCAGGCAAAACAGATCGCCACCAATTCTTCGACACAACAATTTCGACTAATTGGACATACGAGGACTACCATACATGGTTTGATTCTCTTAACGTTAATAAAAACCACGTAGCTGGAGTAGTCGGAGATGGTTTGCCAGCCCAGGTTAAAGGACTCTGCCACTGGAGGCCAGAAGGAGCCCTTTTCCCTGGCTTACAAACCGTGTACATTCGTTGCCTTAACCACGTCTTGAACAATGCTATTGTCCACGCACGTAAGCAATGTCCATTGTTGAATGAACTGATGAATAGAGTTCACCAGATTATCATTATCTTTAAGAATCACGATATGAGAGCGAGATACAAGATCAGGGTTCCATCAATCCCGGAAACTCGCTGGCTCTACATATATGATACTCTGTTTTTCATCTTTGATAATCTGGAAACAATTAATACTGCTTTAAGAAGTGGAGATCTTCCACTATCCCTTTCCAGAGCTACACGTGAACAGTTACAATGGACACGTGATGGAATTCCTCCACTCTTTAAAGATGCTTTAATGATATTCAAGCCATTAAAGCAACTTCAATTATGGCTGGAATCCAACAAGTCCATGGGTGCTTATGCATTCCTGATGATACAACAGTGCCAAGGGATGTTGGATGAAATGGCAGGAAGATTAACGCCAGATGGTGAAGAGATTCTCCGATCAATCACTACAATATTCAAAAATGATATGAAAGAATATGGTAGAATTGATTTGCTTCGGTTTGCTTTCGGCTTTACACCGTTAGCAAGGAAGATCATCAGAGACAAGAAGGGTTTTGGAGGAAAGACAAGCTATCCACCTATAATGCAGTTGAAAGATGTGCAAGTCCCAACGATTCCTTCCCTGAGGATCATCAATCGCGAGATCACATTTGAGAAACTCGGCGAAATCCTTGAAGAAGAACGAACAGAACGTGTTGACGAGGTAGCCGAGCATGATGAAGAGATCCAGCAAGCAGAAGAGGAACAAATGCTTAACGACGATCATGCAGCCGAAACAAATGCCGATGGTTCGAGGAATTCCTTGGTCTGGGATGTTGTAGATGAAGAGATAAAAGATCTATACACATTCATGATAACAATCCTCAGACAAAGAGCAATTGCCGAATCAACAGTTGATCCAACGATCAATAAAGACGATAGAGCCAAGGAATTGAGTGATGCTTACGATTTCTTCATAGAGCAAGATGATTCCCATCTTATAAATGGTCATCATCTTGCTCAAAATGATGGCAAGTTTTGGTACATGAATGGCATAAAGCAACTAAAAGCAATAAGACCAATTGGAAAAAGGATGATGTCACTTTCGTGCAGTGAAGCAGATGTAGAACGTGTAATATCTGAATTGCGAAAGACAAGAAATTCAATGAACGAATCATGCAAAGAAGAATATGTAGCATGCCGCTTCTTCATCAAGTTGAATGATGATCAATTTGATATTTGATTTTGTTTTTTAATAAAATTTATTAAATAATTTGTTTTAAAAAGTATTATTTTTATTCGTAAAGATATTAGACAGAAGGTGGCCAGCCTAATGTCTATCAATCTTTAATATTAGTAGTAATTTCCCGCATTTCTGAATGATGATTGATTAGCTTTGTTGTTATTGATGTAAAACTGGATAAGTATTAAATAATTATATTAATCTTGGCCAGGGGACTGCTGATGGCCAGTCAGCAGCGGCCACTATGAATCATTATAATTATTTAATACCTAAATTGAGGTAAAAAGCAATAAGACTTGCCGAGCCTCATGCCCCTACCTCATATAAATAGAATCACACTTTAGTGAATCAACATCTATAAGAATGAAGTGTTTTGAAGCTGAAATAATATTGAATAGAAATTAATTTTTTCTGAAATTTTGAATGAAATTATGGGAAATAAAAAAATTACTAAATATTGTATTCATACAAATATATTATTTTAAAGGAAAAATAGATGCTGATAGAAACGATGAAAATTTTTGAAAACTTTACAATTAATTTATGTTCGTTAACCACAGAGCTTGCAATCCAAAGCTCACGTTAGACAACAAGAGTCATGAAGTCTCATACTAAGGGATATCCAACATATATTTTAATAATCTAATGTTTGTGACAAATATTCAACATAAAATAAGTTTTCGTTTCGTTACAAGGCATTCATACTTTGGAGATATCATATTTAATGTACAGAAAAGTTAATATTAAACAATACATGCCAAAGAATTAATAAATAAGATAATAAAATAAATTTATACGTAATTACTTTCATTTAATATGCTTTATGCTGTATAATATTGATTAAGAGGCATTAAAAGGTTCCATAGTCTGCTTTTATAGGCAAGATTTTTGATAAAAATTTTAAATTTTGAAAAATGATGAGAAAAGGAAAAAAAGGTAAATGAGAGCAAGAGGAGGGAAAAAAGAAAAAGAAAAGAAAGGGAAGGGAAAAATAAAAGAAAGAAGGACATATAAAAATTTAGATGCGCATTCTTAATGCCGAGGCGGCTTGCCGCCGAGGCGCGATTTTTTTAGGCCTCTACGGTAACCCGGCAATGTTTTTTTAAATCTTGTACAGCCCTATTTTCAAACTATCTTTTTCAAACCTTTAATCATCAAAAACACAATTGTTAATATTCATTCTTTCTATTGTGCTATTCGAATAGTACGATTTATACTTTTTTTGCTAATTTATTAAATATGTCGAATCCGCGGAGGAGCGCTGTTGCAAAATGATCTATGATGTGTAGCGGTGTTTTGATAAAAAGAGGTCGGTCAACGTTTTTGAGTTTTTTCGACCTCATTATTTTTCTGATTTATCTGTTGCATTATATCAAGGGTACAATAATGCATGATATGTCACTGTTTTTATCTAAAAATTCTATAGTATTTCTGTAAAAAATTTATCCATAAAAAATTTTTCCAATCGAAAGAAAAATCGAAAAATTTTGAAATTTTTATAGAACAATATTGTGACCGAAAATTCATTCTCGTTGCATACATCTCATTAAGGTAAAACATTATCTGAAACAACCATGTTTTAAAAAATTATAGATAACGAGATATTTGATACTTAATATCAATAAATTTTGAATACCCTCTCAAAAATTGAATGGACGTCGGTCAACCCTTAAACAAATATCTTCACAGATTATCGAATTAATAACAACCCAAGGTCAGGTAAGTGGGGCTTCCAGGCGCGTTGCGCCCTCTAGCCCATAAGAAATTTTGCCCAAGACCCAAGAGGAGGACCGAACCCCAGCCGACCAGCCGGTGACAAAACCAAAACCGTTGTTATTTACATCATATTAATGGCGTCACTTTTTTAAATGTCACTTTTTGTGTCGCTTTTCACAAATTATATATGTTTTCATGTTTTGTCACTTTTCCGTCACTTTTCGGGTAAAAACATTTTTATTATTATATATAAATGAATTTTACAAAACCGCCGTTACCGTTCTTTGGAAATAAGAGTAGATGTAAAGATATTATATTGAGAGAACTTAAGAAACTACCGAATGGTCTAACATTTGTAGATTTGTTCGGTGGAAGTTTCTATATATCCCATTTATGTCATACCGTATTTCCTGACTCAAAGATTATATGCAATGACTTCGACAACTATATGGACCGTCTCAAACATATTCCAGACACAAACAATATATTGAAAGAGTTAAAAGAAAAGATACCTATAGGTAAGATGGAACGTATACCATTAGATAAGAAAAATATTGTGAGAGAGGTTTTGAAAAAAGCAGAATATATAGACTGGGATAGTATATCTGCTAGACTATTATATAGTGGTGCTATAAGAGTTCATGACATTGAAACACTTATGTCAAAAGTTTTATATCTTAACTATACAAATGTTTTCAAAGAGGACATAGAAAAGTATATTGAGGGTATAGAGTTTGTGAGATGTCATTGGACAGAGTTGTATGAAAAATATAAAGACAAGGAAAATGTTTTCTTTATAGTGGACCCGCCGTTCTATAACACATGGGATTTTCAATACCAAGTAGACTGGACTTTGAGAGACTCTTTAGAAACTTTAGACGTTTTACATAACCATCCATGCTTTTACTTTACATCCGATAAAAGTGGTTTGGAAACCGTTATGAGATGGTTAGAGGACATACATGACTATGAGTTTAGATATGACAAGATAGAATATGAGAGAGGTCCTATAAACCGGAGAAAGTGTCATAACAAAGAAATTTTATTAGTAAGTAAATGTGGTTTGAAATAGGACTACTTGTTTTAGGTTTTTTCCATTGTGTCATTTATTTCTTTGACGTGGCAGAAAAGTACAGAGAATATGAAGATGAACCAATGCCTGCAAATGTTCAGTATATGTACTCGTAAGAGATATTTTTATCTAATATTAAATGGACGCACAGAACTTAGCGAATGCACAGCAACCTGGACAACCAAACCCAGAGAATATTCCAAATGAAGTTAGAATACAAACTGCAATGGCAAACTATGGTCAAGTGCCAACAGATGTACAAATGCAAACTGCCATGTCAAATGACGCTGCGTTAGGTTTGCCACCATGGTATGCAAATATGAGATGGAAAGAGTTTTATACAAACCCTGAAGTGGGATATAAACAACTTTATGCAGATGACGCGAACACAGGAGTTGACCCAGAATATGTTTTCTACCAGAGGAGAGAAACAGAATGTATGAGCTCCAGTTAAAGAATGCTATGGAACTCAACAGGAAACGTAAGAGACTAGGCGGACATTAGATTTTTACATATAGTAAAATGGGTTTCTTCAGTAAGATAGGAAACTTCTTTCGAAATGTTGGAAGAGGTATATGGAATGGA